CTCTCACATGAAAAGGACTTTCTACTGAGAAGACACTTCCACATCCACAGGTTTCTCCCACCCAGCTCAGGAGACCATCACCAGCTGCTGATCCTCCTTCTCCAGGTCATTTCAAAGCCCTCAACAGAAGGGAAAGAGCAAAGAGTGAGTGGATGGACAGTGGTTAAAAGAGAGCAAAGACCCCCTTAAAACAGTAAAAAGAAAGGTAAATGATCATGCATTTAAAAAGTAATCCATATGCTGGTTAATGCTCCATACCCTCAAATTCAAATCCCTTACTCTGTCACTCTTGTTGGTTTAAAATTGAAGTTTTCTGCAAAATCATACAAAGCTATCCTTGTTTCCTCTATCCCCAAGCATGTTCTTGTATTTAACTTCTGGCAGGATGCCCTGCATGGCAGTCTGGCCCCACATGGGCACAGCAAGAGAGGGCTCTGCCCAAGCAGTGACAAGTGTGGGAGCTACACCCCCACAGTCGTGGACACAAGGTCTCTGTCCAAAGGGTTCTCCATCACCTGCAGTCACCTCTCTCCCCTCTCCACATGATAAACTATAGTTAAGTTTACAGGGAAAGTTATAAGCTCACATTGTACAAAATTAAGATTTATACTGACCTTGCCATAATTAGCTGAACAAATATATTTTCCCAAACAGTACAAACTTGCACTGTGTGTATTTAACATCCAATAAAAATACTAAATACATTGTTACAGAACCTAATCCATTAGTTTTAGGGCTTGAATGCCCTAAAACTTGCCATTACTACCATGCAATTTGAGGCTGCAGCAGGAGACTTTGGAGTGTTCAGCATGGTCATCCAAGGATAAAAAGTAAAGCTCTTAATTCTCCTAGAATTAATGGTATTAGTTGTATTTTTAAAGGAATCACACTGGAAAAATTTAAATGAAGCAAGTTCTGAGAGTTATATTTATAGTTAGCTTGAGCTATAAGAAAACTCCAGATTTTCTTAAAAGTTACAGCACCGTGATTAGATATCAATTACAAAACTTCAAGAAAAAAATAAATCAGAGGTTAAGTAATTATTTCCACAGATGCAAACAGAACATAAAACAGAGGAAGTAAAGTTAATACAGCCACAGCAATTAAGTGCATTTTAGATTATGAATGAACCAATTTCACAGACCACTGGTAATTCCCAAGGAGTTCTGGAATAGTGAATTTTTGTCATAGTACTCACCGTTTTCAGAAGTCTGGGTTCTACATTAAGCAAAGTTAACCCAGCCAGAGATCATCAAGGTATCAGATGATTGTCTAACCATTCATCTGCTGCCATCGTGCCCCAGTCTCACTCTCACAGCCTTACCCAGTGCTCCCTGGGTGCTCTGATTCAGTTGGAGTTTCCTCACGAAGAAATAACCTTGGGCATCAGCTGCTTCTTGTCTTGCCTGACTGGATTAATGTTGAGGAATCTGCAGATGACAATGAAGGTTTTGCATTGCAAAATGACAAAACAAGTTACAAACACACCCACAGAACTGCCAGATTGCCACCTTTGCCAGGAGTCCACACTGATGAATCACACCCACGTGGTTGGTACCTTTCCCTCTGGTGGAAGAGGCAGCTTCTGCTCTTCTGTATTTCACAGAAATACAGAATGATTTGGGTCAGAAGGGACCTTAAAGATCACCCAGTTCCAACCCCCTTGCCATGAGCAGGGACACCTTCCACTAGACCAGGTTGCTCAGAGACCCCATCCACCCTGGCCTTGGACACCTCCAGGAGTGAGGCATCCACAACTTCTCTGGGCAACAGATTTTCTAAACACCCCAAAATAAAATCTTATCAAGTTAATGCATCACCTTTTATAAATCCAAGACGACACTGCTGACAGAAGCACAGCTAAAAAGCTCAATGAGCAAGTAATAACCTTTTCTTTAGGGACACCCAAGTGTAAGGGGTGACAGTTGTCTGATGAACTTCATGCCATGGTCGTTGCTGGCTCTCCTAAAATCACCTCACCTCCAACAGTCAGATTTCCAATAGCCAGTAACACAGAGCAAGTAGTTTATCCTAACAGATGAGAAATTCCTAAGGCTCCTCCTACTAACAAGGCTGCTTTCAAAGAGCTTTAGTCACTAAATTGTTCCACTTCCTTGCAATTTGTTTACAGGGTTTCCTGAGATACTGTCATTTTGTCTCCTACCACAAGTCCAATCATTCCTCAGTCACAGGCAAATCTCCAAATTTTAGCTGAAAAGTAGGTATTATTTACTGTTCTGTTTTGATACAGCCAGTGACATCAGCACCAAGTAGGAATTTAGCCAAGCACAATCACACACAGCCAACACAAGCCACCTGGGAAGGTTAAATTACTTGTACCTGATACAACAGCAGGCAGAGATGAATTTAAAGAAATACCTCTAAGTAACATGGTGCTGAAGTATGGAGACCTGTCTTAAAAGGCTTAAAAGGCTTCTTGCCCATGTCACCTGGAGCTGTGCTTCTACATACCCTCTGAACCTTTATGATGGCAAAACTGAACGCCCCTTGATTGCCAAATTTCTCATCAACCTCAGCAATAGTCGTCTGAAGGACACAAAGACCAGCATACTGCAACACTCAGACACACACCTGCTGCTCCCAGAAGAAAGGGCTGTGCATTTGTGCTCCCAGGGGGCTTGAAAAGAGACTGAAACCATGACTTCCAGCAAGGGGGGCACTCCAAAGCCTGAACCAGCAGCATCAGTCTCAGGCTTTACAAGCTGGTCGGGGTTGTTTGCATTCCTCAGGCTGGGAGGTGTGTGTGCCCAGGCACCCAAAGGGAGTGGTTTGTCTTCCCCGCTCTTGCAAAATCCAATTACTCAAGATCTACGACCAACTGCCACAATGCCGAGCTGTCTGATTTCTCGGAGATCAGAAACATCTCAGAGAACTTTAACAGCAGCCAAAAGGCAGCTGTGAAAATCTGTTTTTACCACCCCTTTGGAGTTAACAGATTTCTGAAGATTTATGACTTTTATATAAATACCTTGTATTTTATAAAGTTCAAATGATACATTGCTACACAACTCAAACCCTGCACGACATCCCAGGTTTCCATCAGAAACTTCACTACCATGAAGCAACATTAATGAAAAAAGTTGTCTTTGTGGAAAAAATCAAATAAGTAGACCTGTAATTTTGGTGTGTTTAAGTTTTTTTAGCTATACTTTGTATGCAAACAAAAGCTCTTTAGAGAATCTTGTTAAGATTGAATAAAAACTTTGGAGTTTAAAAATAACCTTTTGTTGTTCTGTTCCTCATTTACCTTTTCCCTCATCCATGTCTCTATTGAACAGTTCTTCTGTTTAGGAAGTCTTCAGTTCTTCACTATATACTCAGGTGATTCAAACATGCATTTATCCATGTTACTGAACAGAACAGGGAGACTAAAAAGAGGCTCTGAAGATGCACAGTAAGGTCAGTTCAATACAAACCAACAGAGGGAAAAACAGAGGGAAAGAAGAAATCCTGAGAAGTTACAAAATTCCCAGTTACACTTGCGAAAAAAACCCAGTAAGCTTTCCAACTGCTTGGATCCTAAGCCATCCTGACAGTCAGGAACCAGAGCATCCCAGTGAGCAAATGAAAACCTGAAAGCCTCAAATGGGGGACTATATAAATATTTTGCTCCCCACCCCAAACTCCTCCTGCAAAGGATTTAACAGCATACAAAATCATTCCTGAACAGAACTGAGCAGACCAAAATTTGAACAGGTTTTTATACTGCTTTTATTTGCTGAGTTTGGATAGCATGCATCATTTTACAGCACTGGTATAAAGTCAGTGAAGCACACAGCTCATAGGAACTTGTACTGTGGAATGTCTTCAAAACCATTACCCTCTCCCCCCTCCACCCCAGTACATAAACACTGGCTGAAGACAGGACAGACACATATCAGGGCAACTTCCTTATGGCTAAAAATACTCATAGCAGCGACTTTTAAAGAAGGGTTTATTAAATCAAGTCATTGCACTTGGGTCATTTATTGCTATAGCGAACAAAGGCCATTAAATAACAAACACCTTCCATTTGTGGCTTTAGCTGATTGTCTTGGTCTGTTCGTCCTCTACGAGCTCCCACACAGGCACAACTTCCGCAGAGCGATCCATCCCAGGATTTGTTTCGTGCTCCAATCACAGTGAAGAGCTTGTATAACAAAACTAGGCTCAATTCTTGCTTTTCATCACCTGCTTTGGAAGAGAATTCCAAGCAGGGGTTTAGTGTCTGACGAGAAGCATTACTGCTGCACATGATTCCTCAACATAAACACTTGGCTCAACCCTTCATTTGTGGTGCATTTAGGCAATCTGAAGTTAAAAGCATTAATATTGAATCAGCTTATTAGCAATTTGACTAGCAAATATTACTCAATACCTGCATAGTGTATTAATCAAATTTCATTAACTATTTGAATCAGCAATCGGTGAACATACTCCAGTTGACTTTTTGACATTTAATATTTTATGATACATCAACTGTGGAAAAAGTACACTCTCGAGAAGTAACACTTCCATGTCACTTGAGCAAGTGACAAACTAAATAATTACTATATTTATGACTACTCCCATGAATAGAAGTTTAATTACTTCTTTTATTGATGAAGTTGCCAAACTATGTGACATTTTTTTGTCATTTAAATTACAGCAGATCAAAAGGAGATGAGCTGATTACTAACAGAATTAATGTGTTTTGACTGGCTTCCTAAAGCTGCATGGGTTTTAATTCTTTAATCAAACAAACACAGCAACAAATACCATTGTCTCCCATCACTTTGCATATTACTTGTATATTATTCTGCTGCAAGTGCTGAGCTCGGGGGTTAAAGATAATGGTAATCCACAAGATCTCAACTGTTAAAGACACTGTCTTGGACATCAGCACAGTGATGTCAAAGCAATTGTTCCAATTACTCATTAAAATACAAAGGTGTTATTAAATTTAGAGGTACACAGTACACTGAGAAAGGTCATGGCATAAATACATAAATATTGAGACCTTTTGAGAGTATCAAAGTTCCAAAGGGATTTATTTGGAGACATGTTATAAACAAAACCTGACTATTGTAAAAACAGATCGAGATGCATATAGAACCATTACAAAGACTGATGACTTCAGTTTAGATACACAGGTACACAGACATCGTGACTTAAGGTTTGCTTTTCCATGCTGTATACTGGAGTATTTTAGGCACAACAGGTTAAGACTGGGCTCGAGCCTTGGTTCTGTATTTCCTGCATTTTGTGGTTTTACAAACTGATTTTTTTTTTCATCATTTCATGATTCAGTCCTAAATCCCTTTTTAATCCAATAGTGCAAGTGACAAACCGTTCTGCTGAACTACTCGGATTAGATCATCCAGTCTCACTACAATGCATAGGAGTTTCACCTGCTTCATTGCACTAACAAATTCCTATCTCATTACTCAACTTATAAACAGCACAGTATTAATATTCTCACTGCAGACAGGCACAACAGCATAACCCTGGGTGAGACTGCCAAAATTATACAAATATCATATATTCCCTTTTGCGTGTAGGGGAAAAGTAGTGACTACAATTACAATACAGTTATTCCACCCCTCCCAATAGACTATTTTACAGATTAGTTGTAAAGATAGATCACCCTATTTATAGTATAGATCTCTTTAAAAATTAGGCTACAGGTATTCCATAAAAATCTATTAAGAATTCCCTCTCCTTTCTATACAGATTCAGTAGTATTTTCTAGCAAACCAAAAAAATAAGGTCTGCAATTCCAGCACAGTAAGAAATAAGGCCTCTTTTATATTGGCAAAAAAATTACACCATTATTCTTTTTTGTTTTCTTATCTCTCTGAATATAAGACTATATTCCTTTTTTTTACTATATTTTTTCTTTAAGAAAGTAGAACAACAGCATCCATTATTATGAAATAAGAGTCAGTTCTCCTTGTGTTCAGCTTTGAATTCCTGGTGAGTTAAAAACATTGAGTCCATAGCTCTCATGTAGACATCACTGCTTTCTTCAATTTTTCTATTTCAAGCTGGAAAACGGACATTTGGAAAAGAAAGTCAGTATTAAAGGAGCAATAAAGGAAAGTCTTCAGAGCTTTCACCAAAGTTGTAATATTTTCAAATACAATGAAGTAAATAATATTGTAACATTATTGCATATGACAGGTCAATATTTATAGCTGATTTTGTAACACTATGTTGCTAAACAAACAGGAACTTATAATCATTAACAATTTGCCTATGGTTCTGGTATATCTTGTTGGATAAACTCACTCTGAACAAAGCAAAGCTGGGTTGTGGAATCACCTGTCGTGTCCCGATGTGAGGCTGCATCATCACCTCAGAGTAACTTCCTAAACCAGCTTTCATACAAAACACTGTGCCTTGATCAATTTGTATTTCTTCAAATGCACTTAGAGGACACCTGGAAGTTACCTCCCCTTCATCCCCAGTGCATATTTAAGGCGACTGCATTGATTGTTTTAGAGACACATTAAAAGGTGAACTCACTAGAAGTTGTTGTCTCAAGTGTCAAAAGTAGCTTTGTAGTCAGTAAGATGCACTACTTCCCAAATAAAATGCCCTTTTGTACCAGACTGAAATAATTTCCTACAGTGAGCTCATCCTATTAACTACTTAATGGCATCATACTGCAATGCAGGCAGTAGTATTCATCAGTGAATTGAGAAGTGGTGTTCATTCATAAGGAAATTTTTCAGATGCATTCTGTTCTTTTGGCCAGTTATCCACATTTAATATTTAAACACTTCATCAAAAATTTAGAGAAGTTTACTTTTGCCCTGTTTTCCTTTTGATTCCCTAAAATAAATTTGTCTTTCAAACTTAAAAGAGGAAAGTATTACCTGTCTCTCTTGGACCATGTCCAGTTGGACATATTTCTAGCAGCACTAAACTGAACTCACATCTCAACACCCACACATGTTGCTACAAATAATATTCCAGATAAAGAAAGATGAATTTGGATTTTCTATATACATTCAACTGCCTTGTGAAGGATTCATTCAATCACACACTAACATAGCAACACAAAAAAAGACTCAACGGGTTTATTGAGACTTTCCTGTGACATCAAATTCCAAACCAATGATTACAAACTTCTGAACTACCCATCCCTTCCCAGACCAATAACGCTACCTCCAGATTACTTCGCAACAGCTTCTCTTCTTCCAAGTCCTTCTTTAGTTTTTCCAGTTCTCTCCTAATAGTAAAGATACCAGAAATATAAGTTAGAGGGGGGTGGAAAAAACCTTCACATTTACTGAGGACATAGGCCTTGTTTAAATTTTACAAGTCGAATTCATATATGAAGGTACATACCTAGTAGTGAATTGTTACTCCAATCTGTTGGACCATGAGCTTCCAACACCTTCCAGCACTTCTTATCTATAACTATGCACCTATCCCTAATTTTTAATCACAGTTTTAAGTAAGCTACTTTAAAGTCTGTACTGTTATTTAACCTGTAAAGTTGAATTTAAGCTGAAATAACCTGGCAATTTGAATTAAAATATGAAATGAAATTTGAATTGAAAATTAAATATGAAGTAAAAATGAAATAAACACATGTTTTATTTCATAATTATGTTCAAGCAAGAAAGTGCTAAGAATTACAATCACACACGATGGGGTCACCATGATCACCAGTTTGAAAAGCTCAGTAATATCCTTCTCTGTCAGATGTCCACAGTGTTACACAAGGCCAGCACACGTACTTATGTTATTACCACAAAAAATTGCCTACTTTTCCTTACAATGAAAGCATAAAATATTTGAGAAATACTTTCAAAAAGCTGTAGTGAACGCAGAAGTTTAAAGTAGAAGAGGAAAAAATGTGTATGAATTCCAAAAATTTGTACGCATTGCAGACATTGAGTTGGATTAACTTTGAAAGAAAAGTTCTAAATTAATATTAATATATTATCATACAATACTTTTCTTACTTTTCAGTGTGGCATTAAAGACATTTATAAGATTCTATATATTCCTTTGGAGACTGAGAAAGAAAATATTTACCCATGTTCTTTCTTCAGTGCTTCTATTAAACCCATCAAATCATTAATCTGAGTCCTGAGCTCTTCCACAGTAATTTTTTCATCATCAGTTTCTCCTTTAAGTTGGATGTCTCCAGGTAAAAAGTCGAATATGACAGAACTTGGTCTCTGAGATGAAGATGTAATTGGGCTGAATGCAGATGGCTGAAAAAATAAATTAGTAAAAAGCTAAGAAATGAAAACTTTATGAGCTGACCACTTACAGCATACAGGTTTTAGCAGGGTGGGAGCTAAACTTACAGAAGTTTCTTTAATTTTCAACCTAAAAGGTAAAAACAATGTCCAGTTCAAATGTACAACTGTAATAATGAGACAGTTATTTCATACAACTCTTAAATAAGAATTTCCCTGAGGTTCCTGAGGGCACTAAAAAAGTACTCACAGTGCAGTTCTCTACACTTAAAAATGTGATTTAATGGAACCCATTGGATCATTATAAATAAACTTTTGTGCACTTTGCTGATCTGTTTAGTTGTTCTGTCTGTCAGGAGCCTAAAGTCTGAGCAAAACTGGAAGTTATTTGGGAAATACCACCTGATACAACAGTTCCCATCAGAACTGATGCACTTTAGACTAAAGATAAATGAACTTCATACTGAAGTTTTTACTATAAACTTACACTAAATAACACAGCTCACTTGCAGTTAAATGCAATCATTTACCTTTAGGTCATTGCATCAACCTGTACTGGAAACACAAGCAAATGAAAAGAACACCAAGCTGCCTGGTACCCCTCTAGCTCCTTGGTATCATCATACCTTTTTTGTTTCAACTGGCTTTGGTTTGGCACTTTCTTCTTCTTTCTGCACCTTCAAATTTTTTTCTGGAACCACATTCTGACTTCCCTGGTAAACCATTCACAAAAAATGAAAAGGTTTTCAGAATTAAAAAAACCAAAAAATTAAATTAGAAAAAACCAGAACTGTCACATATTTCTAAAGATTCAATAGTAAAGGGGAAATAAGTAATGAAACTTAAAATTGCTAGACTAGCAGATGTTCAACTAAACTTAAAAATAGGAATCTTGGGCAGGATTTTCAAACATATCTGCAATACCAAAGTCCTTGATGCTTTGGGGAGCCTGTAGGTGCTTCCATAAAACACAAATGGCTGGTAACTATAGATGGTACCTGGCACAACTGAACTGTACAACACCCAATGACAAAAACTGATTTCAAGGACTCTGCCCCACCTGCTTCTCATTTTCTGACAATCTCACATCAGCATGTAAGATCACAAGTCCCACATTACGGCAACAATAGATTCCAAATTTGTAGTGACCATCTGTAAGCCTTGTAAGACACTGTATGTGCAACACCAATTCCACCATCAGTCATGGCACAAGAGCTGAGTATTTCCTGCAGGAACACCCCATGGAACAGAAAGACTCCTCCAGCTGCAACTCAATCCCATTGTTTCTCTTGCACTCACTTCCCTGCTGGGAACGGATATTCCTCTAGATATAGTCTGTAGGAACTGAACCTTTGTGGCAATTTGCTCTCAGGTAAATGGTTCACAGGACTGTTTCCCAGTGCAGTCCTGTTTCCTGGGAAGTTAGTTAGTAGTTCACTAGTGGAAAAACACCCCCAATATACTCACAGGACTGCTATTGAAACGTGAGGGCAGCCTCCTACCAGGCATCTTGGGCCGGGTTGCAGTCGGGTGTGACAGATTATCTGAGGTAGCTATTACATCATCAAAGCTTAACGGATCTAGAAAAAGATGAAAACAAAGACCACCATCAAGATCAGAAATGTTTTGCTGTGTTCTTTTTATCACTTTATTTTCCTTAAGAAGAAAAATTTAAAAAATCAGAATTCTTACTATTTTAAAGATTTTCAGCATATACAACAGGGGAGCCACATGAAACAACTACATGACTTCGACATACCCAGGAAATCATATTTTCCCCTTCAAAAAAATTAAGAATTAATTGAACTAGGATTTAATTTCAAGTTATGAACAGAAGTGCTGTAGTAGTATGGCAGCATAAAACAAACTTAACAAGTAGCTGCAGAAAAACATAATTATTACTTCTTTCAAGAGCTGCCATATTCAACTACTTGAGAGCATATTTTGTTATTGCTAAACTTGTATGAAAATGCAAGTTCAGTGATCAAGATAAAAATAAAGGTAACCTAGTAAAGTACACACTGGGGTACCCATGCATTGGTGAAAGTAAGTTAACAGCACTAACTGCACATACTTCTGTGCAGATACTTTTTTTTATATGCAGTATCTAAAGATAATACACAACTTCATAAATCTGTAGTAAAACACTTCAAAACTCCATTCTCATACTTCATTAAATCTCATCAGTCTCTTTATGCTCACAGCTCTAGGTAAACTCTCAGATCAGCAGAAATGCTTTATGTCCTCTCAGAAGAGGCAGATTTGGGGAAAAAAACTATTAACAGAAAGAACTGAACATAACTAATCTAATAACACAAGTACTTCACCTAATTAACAACTGGACTTCTTAACTATTTCACCACAAAAATAAACATACTTACCTGGCAACAGATGTGTAGTGAGATTGAGTTGTGATTTTTATTTAAGCATTGACATTACAGTTATTATATATCATTTTATAACCCAAATTCATCACTTATTTTATTGATTCTAACTAAAATGCCATACAACAGGTCAGATCAGAATAAAATCCCCTGTAAAGACCAAGCCAGACCACTCATACCCCTTCAGTGTCTGGATGACTTAAAATAATCTGATTATTCCAACACATTGTAAACTAATTTATACCTGCACATACTGAGTTTTCCATTGAATGTTTTAATTGATTTTAATGTCTTCTCTGCATTAATATCCTTGAAGTCCTTAAAACATTCACCTCTTTTGGACAGCCCTGATTGGACCTACTTCATCCCCCACTGCCTTGTTGAAATGAAAGCATTTGTAACACCATCTCTTAACAATCAGTTTTGCTGCTTTTTACTTCCACTAAAGAGAATGTCAAAACAGTCTTTTGCAAACATGCAACCCTATCTGCAATTAAAAAAGCAGGGAAGAAAAATAAAGAAGGGAGAAACAGAAGGGTGATTAATGGCAAGCGGCTGATGGAAAAGAGGATGAGGGGGGAATAAATGTGAAGGGATTTCTGTTGCCAATACAATATTTAATACAAGACAAGCAACAGTGACCAAAGGGTGTATCTGCATGGTCTTTACTCAACTATCAGTGATCCCAGAGTACTAACCCATCACAGAATCACAGAATGGTTTGGCTTGGAAGGGACCTTAAAGAATACCTCATTCCACACACCCCCACCACAGGCAAGGACACCTTCCACTAGACCAAGTTGTCAAAATGTAAATTAGGATTTATGTTCAGTATTATTAAAAAGCTAATAAGAAAAATGTTTATTTCCCCCATCTCAGTAATTTCTGACTGTAAACAATCCTTCTTTTGTCATTCTACAGAAATGACAAATCATTTGGCAGCAAATTTAAATAATAATTATAAACTGAGTTGCTGTTATGATTGTAATGTCAGCCCTGCCTCTGTGAACAAAGCAAACATCAGGCGTATTAAGAATATTAAGAACTTACTAAGAATAATGTGATGTTCTGGAAAAAAAATCACAGTATTTGAAAAGGTTTGAACATGAAGACTGCTACAGTCTTGAACTGTAAATGATTTAAATATAGATGGTGGGATGACACCAAAGCCAAGAAGTTTGTCCACGTTACTAGGAGCTTCTAAAGGAAATTGTTACACCAGAGAAAATTGCTCAGCATTAAAATATTACCAGCAGATTACAGTTAGAGGGAATTCAGACTGCACTTGCATTTTCATTTTTACCTCTCCATTGGTATAGGGAAGAAATTAGAACACAGGTTGGTGGGGATTTGGGTTTGTGGTTTTGGTGGTGGGTTGGTTGGTTTCTTTACAGGCTTAGGGGGGTTATTTGATTGTTTTTCTTTTTAAACAGCATTTTTAGTTATTTTAAGAGAAAATTAAACCAATAAACCTTCGAACCAATAGACATACTGATGAAACCCACTGTAAATTCAGTTTACACCCATTTCAATGAATAAAGTGATTTATCAATTAAGATTCTTACAGACAGCCTGTAACTGTTGAAGGAAATCCCATCATAGTGCCAAAAGTACCACACATCTGGGGATACTCTGGGTCAAAACAGGATTTTAAGGCTGAGCAAGGACACCTTTTTTTCTAAAAAGACAAGCTAAGCTTAAACAGTTACACAGGATGGGCTACTACAAATGTCTCTTCTGCAAGCTTACCATGGATCCATCACAGAACTGTTAGGAGCTTTGATATAATAAGGGAGAGGTTTTGTTAAGATTTGTGAATGCTTCAGGTGTATTCACAGCACTTTGCCTTAAAAAGCTTTCACAAAAAGAAGCAAAGCTGAAGGGGTGCCCAAAGAAATTATGATTCCACTACCTCATGTGGCTGGGGTTTAAAACCCCAAGATACAAGTGAAATGTATCCAATATTTTAGAGGACAAAATCTCACATTAATCTGCAGAGTAAGAAGATGGCAGCCCTTCCTCCTGTTCCTCATCCTGCTGAGATTTCACCCCCAAAATTTAGGGGACAGATACAAGCTTTCAAATATTTATACGAGCACTCAAGCAATAGTGAGGTACTTGCTACAATTAAGAATGTGTCTAATACAGAACTTCTAAAACTACTGTTTTACAAGACTCATGATACTAAATAGTCAACACTAGTGGATCCACTGCTAAAAGCTTCTTAATTGCATAATTTATGTGTACAGAACGATATATCCCTTCAACCTACATATACCTAAAGGTACTGAAGACATTTCACTACAAACAAACACGAGGTTTGGCTTATCAATAGCTGAAATGTAAGTTTTTTCTTATTTTGTTTTAATCCCCACAAGTTCCTAACTGAAAAGCATACTTAAAGTAACTTCTTTAACAGCTAAGGAAAACAGGCATTCAAACAAACAAAAAAAGCATTTTTAACAGAAACTCCAAAGTTTTACTACCAATAACTGCAACTGAAAATCACGCTTATGATGTTAAGAAGAGGATATGTGTATGGAATAAAGCATTTGGATTTCCTTATAGATTGTTCTCTTACCAAAATGGAGAAGGGTAGGGTAATTTCCTGACACGTAAGAAGGGAAACATGGCAAACAGGATAGGAAACAAAATCTGGAAAGAAAAGTCAAGGAGAGGAATGTCTAGAAAAAGATTCTGAACAAAAAAATTATTTTACAAAGCAGGAAAAAGAAACATTTGTAGAAGAAACAGAATTGCTTTACATGTTCAGCATGCCAGTATTACAGCTTTAGTCTTTCACAGCACTTGAATTCTAATCCATCAGAGAAACATTTAAGCATTTTTTTCAAATAACACTTCAAGAGGAGCTATTTCAATGTGATCAATGTTTCTGAATGGTTTTGAGTTTTTGTTCTCATCCAATGGCTGGGGGCCTAATTTTGGTAGCATAGGCTGGTTTTTTCCTTACAGAATATGTACAGCTTCTCCTTATGCTAAATTGAAAGTGACTCAAACTACACCACACTAAGTTGCATAAAAGCAGAACACCCATACTTAAAAATAAATTGATTTTCTAAAAATTCATTCACTTCAGAATCATAATCTAAAGGTGGAGGGGAGGAACTAAAAATAAAGACTCTGGTAAAGCAGTTGCCAGTCTCAGCCATACATTTTCCCTCATCTTTTAGTATCTATTCTGCTTATTGTAAGATTAAACAGCTTATTTAAAGATTAAACTTCATATGAGGACCCAACATCTTTTGAATTTCATATAGCCTTGACTGCACAGAGAATTATGTCTTTAGCAACACAATACATACACGGAAATAGAGCATGAGACCCATTATATTTTACTGGTTGGATTTTGGACTAGACTCTTTTCACAAAAGTAATAAAAGTGACTTATGTGGATTGTTTTACGGAATGTGAGTTTGACACAACAGAGGATTTTTGAAACTTTCCTTCAGTAGCAGCTCCTTGACTCTGTCAGTGCTGCATCCCCACATGGACTCCCTGAGCCAAACAAGGGCCACTGAACACACCTCACCCACAAGCTGCTCCTGCACCTCTGTCCACTGCACCACCTAGGTGTTAAAAACTTCACTTTCTCCATAAGTCTGAACAAACTTATGTCAACAAAATAGAATTCACAGTTTTTTCTAAATATGTATAAAACTGTGGGGTTCTATCTATACGAACACCTAATATCACAGCTACTATGCTACCACTGTAAAGATATCAAGATAACTGTACCTGAAGAACAAAAAAAATATATTCCAGCTGTTTTGGTAGGGAGTTTTTCCCTGAGGTTAAATGACACTGTGCTATACAGTAACACATCTAATACAACTCCAGAGGTAATCACAGAATGGTTTGGGTTGGAAGGCACCTTAAGATGATCTCATTTCAAACCCCCTGCCATGGGCAGGGACACCTTCCACTATCCCAGGTTGCTCCAAGCCCTGTCCAGCCTGGCTTTGAACACTTCCAGGGATGGCGCAGCCACAGCTTCTCTGGGCCACCTGTGCCAGGGCCTCACCTCCCTCACAGGGAAGAACTTATTTCTAGTATCTAATCTGAGTAGTAGGGCAAGGCTCACATTTTAAGGTTAGGTTTGCATCCCTCTTCCATCTCTCAGCTTATTTTGGCCTGGAAGTCTTTCTTCCATACCCTCACTCAAACTCATCTTTAAGCAGAGGCAATAGTCAAACTGCCAATTCAAAAGCTTTAAAACAGGGCATATCACAGCACAGGCACAGACTTTCTGAGAAATAAAAATGAACTTATCCTTTAGGGTATCACTGACTTTATCTGTAGTATTTCCAGGATATATGATTACCTGCTAAAGTCCAGCTTTTTGCAGCTCAGGAAAATATAAGTCTTGTACTACAAACAAACAAGAACTAACCTTTACTCATACAAAGCATTTATGCTTAGAAGCACATTTTAAAAGGCTTAATAAAAAAATCAGGAGCACTCTTTTCTATTCATAAACTGCTTCAGTTTTTCTAATGCATTATTTTTATCTTCCAGATGAATTTATTAAACTTTATGACCAACTATTTCACAACCAGAATATTGTAATTGGCCTGAAAAAATTAAAGAAATCAAGTTATACTACTTTAAAATGCGTTACTACCAAAACCTTTTCCGAGATGAAAAGTTGCACTGGAGATATGCAAGACACAGACTGAAAGTACAAGTCACTAAAGCTTTTTATACGCTGGTTAATCACACAATTAATTTGGAGTTTAGAAAAACATGCCCACAGCAGGTGATCTCTGCCTAAGAGACACATAGAAGTCTTGTATCAGTTGCACTGTCAGTAAAGAACAAAAGGTAGCTCAGAGTCTGATCCTCAAATGTGGGTCCTTCAACCAGCATTGAGGTTTTTACTGGATATGTCTAGAATGAAAGAGATGCCAGGTTTGGCTCACGGTGCATTAAGTAAAGCCTTATGCATGAAATTCAAATGTACAATGCTCATGCTGGCCCAAATTTAAGGTATGATAAAAGTCATAACCTAGAGTAGCTCTGAACTTAAGAAGGCTGAAGGTAACAGCATTACTAAAAATGCACGAGTTAGCTGGAAAAGCAAAAGTTACCTGAAATGCAAGAGCAGAACAAACAGAACCAGTCAGTAAGAAAAACAACTTCATAAAAACTCAAGATAAAAGTAGCAGCTAAAAAAGCATGCATTCAAATTGGAAGAGCAAACCATTACCTACATTTCCCCCTTCCTGTCCACTGTTACAACCCAGAGCTCATCAGTCACCTCCAAAGACCCTGATGACATCTGTTCATCCCTTCACCCCTTCCTCACTCTTACCTTCAGCAATTCTAAAAAACTACACTTTCCACTGAGCAGGCAAAACTGCACTCAGTGCTATTTTGAGTAAATGACCTAAAACGTTTATTCCAACCCTGTAAAACACTGCAATCCAAAGAAAGACCCAAAAGAACATTTTATTCTTTTCTTACCTGATTCTTTAGAGCTCTTTACCACAAGTGAATCTACCTCTACTGATTTTGGTCTATGTGGTAATGGTTCAGAGTCTAACTTTGGTTTTGCTACTGGCTCAACTTCAGATTTCGGTCGAAGAGAAACAACTTCTCCATTAGTTCTGTAGTGAGAAAAAAACCAACAAAACATACCTAGTCAAGTGATAAAATAGCATAACAGCAAAACATTCCAAGAATTAGATGTAAATGGAAAAATATAATTTTCTAAAGCCTTGGTTGAAATGAAGTCTTTTGGAGACAAATTTTATTCCTATAAAAGTCAATTCTTCTGTTCCAGCTCTTGCAGAATTGTCAAACATGTACAAGTCTATTGTGAAAATAATCCAGAACTTTTACTAGAGGGCACACTTTGGCACTGCAATCCAAAGTATTACACTTCAGAAAACAAGCGAGCTGAATAAGACCTTCAGCAATATCTCTTGAAATAATGCAGAATCTGACTCCTTGAAATTATACAAATATTCCTGTACAGAAAAAAACTTGCCAAGAACAAGTTACTTCTTGTTGGGTATAGAATAAACCACTCTGTATATATAGCTTTTCTTCTACCATGCATTCTTTGCATATCTGATCACATCATTCACAGACATAAAAATTTAAAAAAAAAAAAAACACAACCGACCACCAAAAATCCCAAAGAAATACACCCTCCCACCAAAATAAATAAACAAAAAAAGAACAGATAACATTTTCCTTTAAAATTCTTGCCATCACAAACCCTGGCTGACTGGGCCTGTACGTGCCATATATAAACTGACCAGCTGTCACCTTCAATGTGTCCTTGTCATTAATTCACCACCCAAAGCCTTTATTTGGAAGTTTTACTGCAGCAGCAGAAGACACAGCAGCCTTTCCTTCCTAGAACAATTTCAAACTTTCAGATATTTAAATACCTCTAAGATTTAAAGGTTTCAATTACTAAAGGCTACAGACCTCTACTTAACTGCACACTAATACCCCCTTTAGAGTTGCAATTATTTTCTAAACAAGAGGACATGACTTGTCATTTAAAAAAAATCTTTACTCAGGAAAGTCCCCAAGTACCAAGTCAATATAACACAATTCTGCACTGAAAAGGTACTTAAGGTGCAAGCTCTTTGATGTAGCAGCTGTCTGCTCCTTTATTTGCACAAGGCCAAGTGCATCACGACCTTACTTTCTCAGAGTTCTTTCAAGCCAACTGAACATCCCAAGGGGACAGTTACCCATCAGCAGTTTATTTACAGTTCTGGGTAAGGATCTAGCAAATACTTTGATGGAGAAAGAAAGGAAAACTGTGTGGGAGAACATAGTGATGCAAAATTAGTCTTAGAGAAATACTATAAAAATTGTTTCCATTTCATGAGAAAAAAAGTTAAGTGGATCTAAAAGAAGTATTTGTCCCTGTTTGTCCAGTAACCCAACTGGGAGGGTTGATCAGCACAGAGAGTCAATGTGCTTCTGTAGTAAGTGCTTTTTATCCCCCCAGAGGAGAACATGAGCCACACTGAGTACCTTTAGCACCTGTACTACCTGTGCTCAATTCTGCCTTTCCATCTATCTTGTCCTACACAAAGTGCTGAAATACTGAACCTCGAGGCAGCTCAAACCTTCAGGGGTTTTTTCAACACAATAGTAATTCTCAAGGGCCATGTCCCCAGATTCTTTTACACCACCATGCTACTGTAGCTACAGCTTCTACTACAGAGTGGGGCAGGCTTAAAGCAAAGCAGCCCTCAGGTGTGTGACTTCATCTGGTTAGTTAAGCTGTAATACTGACTCTGAGATGGATTCAATGTCTCAAAGAATTTGAAAGGTTTAAATTCACATTGATAAAGACTTGTTGGAAAACTAAGACACTGGTTGGTGTAGGGCAAAATTTATCCTTTTCACCCTTAAAACACACATTTCTTCCCACCTCAACCATGAAGGAAGATCAAACAACAAGCCAAATAAAATATACTCAGTGCACACAGTTTAAGTTGTACTGACTTGGGTGCAGGTGACGGCAAACCAGGTTTTTCCGGACGCTTTGGGTGCAGGAGTCCTGCTCTCAGTAAGCTGTTAGTCTTGCTTGGAGGAATAGGTTTCTTGGGTGGTACTTGAGGAGCTTGTGGTTTCAAAGGCTTCTGATCCAAAGCTCCTTTTTCATCTGACAAGATAAGTTACTATTTTAAAAACCCAGTGCTGTCTAGAAAATTCTTACACCCTTAATCCATCAGAAAGCAAGTGCTATCAGAAATATCTTCTTTGAAGATCAAAGTTAAAAAGGTATGTGTCTTAAGTGATGCCTTATCAAAACTACTTACCTGAACTTAAAAAACATTATCTTAAAGTAAGCAAAATGTCCTTCTACTGACATGAAACCACAGTAAGAAATTATGGATCACATTATCACACTACAAATGACAGCTAGGAACCAAGAGTCTCTCTGTACTGCTACTGCTTTATGCTTTTTATGAATTCACCTTATCTCCTTTTAAAAAGACAAGATTTAGGTTTTATTTTCTTCTAAGTAGACTTCTTCCGTGCACACAAGCAGCATAATTAACTCTGAGAAATAAGGGGGAAAATGAGTATTTACCTGAATAGCCGAACTTATTTTAGATAAAGTCTACCTTCCTATAAATAGATGGGAATTAAGTATGAATAATCAAACAAAAAAGTTAAATTTATTTTTCAGTGACTGCATGACCTAATTGAATACTGTCCAGAGGAGCTGACATATTACATGGGACACTGAAAAATTCAAGCTGCTTCACAAATATTAGTTGAATACTTTTCAACCCATGTTCCCTAATCCTATCTTGTGGGATATCTAGAGCATACCTTCTACTTTTTCCTGTAAAACTATGCCACAGTTCCATCAGGCATGCACAAAGTAGTCAGGATTTTAAAAAATAATTGTTAGGTTACAGCTCTTTAAAGTTACTGCCCTTATAGGGCAGTAAATCAGTAAACTGGAGTGGAGAGAGTGACCTTCAGCTTTGATTCTACCCATCCTCCCCTCCTATGACTTTAACCAGGTATTGATCTAATGTAAAATGTTTGCATATGGTATGGATTTGGGAGCAGGGGTGGATATTTGCCTTAGCTCCATGCCAGCTAAGTGCCTGAACCGCCAGGTCTGTGACTGATTTATTGTGGACAAGTCCTGCAGCCACTGAGTGTCAGTCCTCCAACCCTAAAATGGGAAGAGGCCAGTTTCCTTTCACACAAATCTCTGGAAGTAAACAAATCCTAGAGATCCTTCTGCCAAAAGCATTGTCCAGGGCAGAACTGCCTTCCTGCTTCGGGACACCTGAACATCAGCAGAAGCCATGAACCAAAAAAAATAAACTGGTTGGCAACACCTTCCAGTCCCTCTCAGCACGGAGTTAAGAAAGCAGGATGGTGGAGCAATGGAAGGATTTACCACACGGTGGTGCTGGCTGCCCTGTGGAAAGCAGCCCCTCAGCAGCGCCAGCCACTCCTGCCTCCTCACCCTACACAACATTTACATTTTGAATGCCCAGCAGCAGCCAATGTTAACTGCAGATCAATTGGCTTTATTTAAGCGGTGCTGAACACAAGTTGAGAATAAACAGGGCAGAAAAAGTGCTGCTATCGAATCGTATCCCTGAATTCTTATCTCTCAGTTTTCCCTTCAATTGTTCCCACTCAAAATCTGAATATAAAAACTGTATACAGCTAAGTGGAAAAAGTTAACACCAAAGGTCAAGGTTCACCATGAACACAGAAACTGGACATTTCTGCTGGACAAAATGACATGCTTCTTTCTTGGATTTTGCTCCCCAGTGAGAAAGAGGGTTGGCTTAAAAATCAGCAGTTTAACGATGGAAATAAAGATACTAATCTCAAGGCATTTACACTGGATAAAAATTTCTACATGACACCACTAAGTGTCCTTCACTATAAATACAGAAATACTTATAGGAGTACTGCTTTTAATTTTTGATCACAATTAAAGGCAGATTTATTAGTCTCCCAATAGGCATAAAAAATTACATGGTTTGATAGCTTGTGATTAGAGCTGCTCAATTAATACTTTTTTGTCCTCAAAAAGTAATTACAGAACGATTTCATACTTAATGAGTTTAATCACTAATATTAACACATGGTTATTCTTCCAAAAGTACAACTGCACTGATAAATGGGCAGTAAAACACAACTGCTATCTAAAACGGTAACTTTTAAGGCCTGATCTGAAACTGAATACAGGTCAAACTTTTCCTTCATCATTTCCTGTACCTCAGTAAAGGATGGTTCTCTACATAATTTTCCAGAAACTTTCACATGCCTAAGTGTTTTGGATGGTTTCACTCAATATTTTTTTTCCTATATTCCTCCACAAGCAGTTGAGCTCAACTGTGTGAAGTTAACAACAAGGTACAAACACACCAGTCTAAAATTAAACTTATTTCCATTTAACAGAATTTAAAAAGAGACCAGTCACCAAAATGTTTGGAATCATGGAATTGATCTCAAGTCACACCTGTTCCAGCATAATCTATTTGCTCACATTCAGAACAAACAAGCTGACTTTAACAAGTATTTTCATATGCAACACCTGAGAAGGTGCTTTGTTTAAAATGGGGGTTATAAAAACTTCTCAAGGAAGCCAAGAAACCCATGGAGCAGGCTCGCTTGTAGCAATGTTGGTCAGCCACAGTTCACCATTCACAGAACAGTGTGGTTTTGTAATTTGGTTAGGCTGCAGTAACATCAGAACTTCTTCTACAAGGCCCAGACTTTCTGTTGAAGCTTCTCACTTTTAAACACAATCAAAACACTGTGACTAGGGAAGTTTTTCAAACATGTAAAGATGCCTTTTTGAAATGTGTTTGGGTGACAATAGTAGCTTTTGTTCTCAAAAAAACTGCCCTTTAAATTTTAAGAATAGAGCAGTAAATGTCTCCAAATTCTGTGGAACTTGAGAACGTGGAATACATCAAGAATCAAAAGGACAAGAAATCTCTTATATCTGAGCATTGTGACTTTAACATCTGTCTAAGGAGTAACTGTTCTGTGCAGTTCTTTCAAAAATATTTTCAATCAGAGACTGATTTTGGCCAAAACCTTCAGAAGCAGCAGTTAACCTTTTAATTTCTAGTAACTTATTAGTGCTATTCAAAACTGCAGTCACTGTCACAAAACTACCCTTACACGAAATTAATTTAACTATGTTACTGTGCAGTAACCCATTTTCAGAATGTAATGCAATTACAAGAAATAAACATTCCAAAAGAGTGTAGCTGTTGTTCCAACCTCTCCAAAGACTTCTCTGTAATTTCACAAACACAACAACTTCAGCAGATGGTATCGAGAGAGTCTGTATGATGTCTCCTGAGCAGGGAGCCTACTTCCAGAGCAGACAAGCCAAAAAACTGTAATTTGTTCACAAGAGCATGGTCTGAAATCCACTATGAAGGAAAGTGGTCTCACCTTTTTCTTCAGACTTCAAAGACGGGAATTTCTTCTCTCCAGTTGGCAATTCAGGCCTCAGAGCTGAATGAAAAAGCAAGCCATAGACATTTCTCAAAGAGCCTTAATTATCTTGGTCACTAACTAAAAATAAGACACACACCAAGCTGTGTTTATATTTTCTCCTCTGCAAGGAGTGTAATACCATTTATAATCACTCACTTGAGCCTAGAAAATGGCAAGCCTGTATTAAAATGTTTCCAAAGCAGGCTCCATCATAATTTGGAAAAATACACAGCAGCAGGAAAATACACAAAGCATGAACAGTAACCTCAAAGTGTGACTGTGAGTGGCTGCATTACTAGGAAACACAAAGCTACTTCTGAATTTTCATTTGAAATCATGCACTGCTTCTGAAATTTAGTATTTCCTCAGACATGTATCACCATACACATACAACATACCTGGACCTTTAACTGGAGGTGGAGGTTTCTTTGGCTTCTGCAAAAATGAAGAAAAAAAAAAAAAGAGTCAAACAAACAAGCAAACAGATATTCTCTACCCAAGACAGCCTCATTTGTGTTTTGTTTTGCATACTGTAACTTCAAGCTTGTTTACCAGCTGATTTCAAAGTATTTCTCAAAGGAGGCAATCAATTTACAGACAGGAAACACAGAGAGCTAGAATAATTCCTCTGATATCTCTCAGACAAGCAGTTGCAAAAACAGAAACAAAATGCAGGTTTCTTCAAATCCGATCAGTGCTTCAATAATGTGCATAAGCAGCAGAGGGAAAAGGAACTAATACCCAAGTATTATATCTTTCCTAGTCTAACGAATTGTTCTGATCACTCTCATTTTAATTTCAATATGCAAACCTCAATCCAGTACAATGCCAGTTTAAAAGAGTAACGAGGTAAGTTTTTGGACCAAAAATTGGCCCTTTCACTAAAACAAAAAAAGCTTCTAAATTAAGTATCACATAATGACTTCAATTGACTTCTAAATTACAAATGTAAGAGAAAAAAATAATTACCAGCATTTCTCTCATAAACACTGCAGTTATAAGAAAAATACTGCTTTAAGTTTCCTTAACACTGTATATTTAAGTGGGAAAGAGGGTAAAACTACTCTAGCCATTAAAAATTTACAAAGTATCACAATGCAACAGTTTGTACATGGAAATTGCTGTTCTGAAACACAGTCACTCACTCCTTTCACTTGCCTTGAAGTGATACAATTGGATTTCAACCTCTCTTGCTCAAAGAGGACTGGCACCTCTCAGGACTGATCTCAGTCACTCATCCTCAGAAGCTGATTCATGAAATTGCTGTAGAAGAAGTGCCTTTATGGTTGTACTAAGGAGCAGTCTCGCTGATAAAAGATCACAAAAGCCTACAGAACTACTTGTTCTTCAACCAGACACTGCTGAAACCACACCAGCTCAGTCTAACACAGCCCCTCCAAAAAAATGCTTCATAGTTGCTATTTTTAAAACATTTGCTATGGATAGATTTCACTTCTGTGTCCCTACTGCTATTGAATAAGCTTTTCTTAATGCTCCAAGATTTTATTCTGACACACAAAATGTAATTAAGCAAGTGGGGAACCCATATCCAATTTCCTCCTCGAGTTTCAGAGGACACAAAGGCAAGTGAACTTAAGTAACAAGACTGTATTTTCTTTCTTTCCCACAAAAGCAACTACATTATCCAGCTGTGCAGCATTGCTGTCTACATCAAAACCAATTACACTGAGAGTCTGGCATCGATTTGCCATTATATGATTCTGATCTGTGTTTTTAATAAAGTTGATATCAAATAGCTGATTACAATAATCAGCCACCCAGTGCCTTGAACCTCAAAGCTGCTCAGTGCAAGGTGTGCACTGAGACACATGACACAAAGCTGAATACAGGATCAAAGCAAGGTCTGTCTAAGGAAATGCTCTTTATGGTAGAAGACTGGGTGTTTTCCTCCTCTCTAAAGGGAGTAATTCTGTGTTGTGAAAGAGTGATATCACCCACCCACCACTCAAATCAAGTCACGTGTATATTAAAGCACTTATGTAACTCATGCACAGCTGAGAATCCATCTGAAAAGAAAGTGCTGACTTGGGGTAGGTAGATTTTCTGTGCAAGTGAGGCAACTCAGGTTAAATGATAAATAAATAACTCCTGATCTGGAGCCGAATCCATCCCACCTGGAGATGACATACATCTGTGAACTAACAGAACTAGCTTTGCTACACACACTCGACAGATCCAAAACATCACACTAATCTCAACCAGAAAAAAAATTGTAAAATGAGAACCAAAATTACAAGGTCAAGGAGTACCACAGGAAAACATGAATTTCTACAAGTCAGCACATGAAATGGTGAAAAAAATTTTCTAAATCCCACCCAAAGATTATCCTTCACACACTGTAACCTATTCGTAAGTGTTGACATGGAAAAATCCCAGTCAGTCCCAGAGGAGTCATTCAGTTTTTTGCAGTTACAAGTTACTTATGGACTTCAGATGGAAGAGACCAACTGCTTATCTCCTTTGAAAGCAGTAAGGGTTTAATTCAGTAACCAGTAACACATAACATCACGTTATCAGAGCTATATCCTTTTCTGTAGGACCTAATCATTCTCATTAATTACAGTTCATCAAGAAAAGCATATTTAAACACAGTAAGTTTAAACACAAAGATTAACCTTTACACCTTCCTTCGTTGCTATAGCTAAGTCAAGATAAAGTTAAAACTGCCACAACTGTAATATTTTAAGCAGCATAAAGTGCTGTGAAACTCCTTTATTCCTTGCTTTTTCATCAATACTTTTTTGTGATACTGAATGATACACGTAAGAACTTACAGGGAAGTCTTTATCAGACTCTTGTATTTGAACAGCAAAGTTATCTGGGAAGAGTCCTTCTTTACCATTGAGCTCTCCTTTCCACCAGCCTGGCTCTCCAGTGTCCTAAAACAAACAACAGGTCACTCGAATCAATATTTACTTCTTCCACAGGAGAGATACAGTTAAAGGAAAAACTTTTTTCCTTTTACACACAACTTTGGTCTGAAACACTGTGTTTATAAGAGGAATACTTTGGCCACCTTGGGAACAGGAAACAGGTACAAATCAGATCAGGTTTGATCAGTTTTTGTTTTCTAAAAAGCAGGATTAAATGGTATTACATCATATATAAGATAAGGGTATAAGGATAAGATCTGCAAAGGGAAGGAAAGTACACAAACCCAATTATGACCCAACACACAACACTGACCCTTCTCAGCTTCCTTGACCAGCAAGTTATTCAGTAAATACTTCAAATATTATTGGAGTGACACACAATTCTACTAAATAGAAGTGATTCTGATGTGGTAGATCAGATCCACTGCTCTGAAAGGGTGAAGATGCAAAAGGATATGCTCTGCTGAGGGAAAAAATAACCATATACAGACATAAGAAAATAAAATAATGGAGAATTAATTCAGTGGCACAGAAATCCATTACATGATGCTACTGATCAAGGTCTTCTGTTACTGGAGTATTTTAGCACCATAAATAACAGCTTTCCTCTGTGCCTCAGATCCAAAATTCTGCAGGTAAAGGAGTAGGGGGAAAATAAAATATCAAATATTTTTTAAAGATCCCACCCTCCATAAAACTAAAGGAGAAATCAATAGAATAAGAACCTGAATAGGTGATTAGTGCTGAAAGTAAGAGTTTGATAAGGTTTAGGGTTTTCTTTCCCCTCTGTCAGCCTTTGGATTAAGTACTAGAGTCCAATTTCTGAACACTGCGCAGTTGTGAATGGGATAGGGCATCTACTGCTAAACTCCATTTAGCCAGTACTGAGGAGTGGTGGAGAGCCAGAGAGAACTCATGGAAAATTATCATCTGCAGAACAAACAGGAAAAAAAATGGGCAAGGGGGACAGGTTTTACACAAAGTCCAAGTGCTGAAAGAGAAATCATAGAATCACAGAACGGTTTGGGTTGGAAGGGACCTTAAAGATCCTCCAGTTCAAACCCCCTGCCAGGGGCAGGGATGCCACTCACTAGCCCAGGCTGCTCAGGGGCCCATCCAGCCTGGTCTTGAACACTTCCAGGGATGGGACAGCCCCAAGCCCCCTGACAAAATACCTTAACACTTGGTCAGACCAAAACTCTGGTCTGAGGCAGCCACCTGGAAGTTACATTAATACACTCAGACTTCAGAAGATGGTTTTGGAGTGAGAGCTCTGCTCTGGACAGCTCTTCTTGGCCCCACTGTGGACCAGTGTATGCTGAGGATAAATTGGTTTAAAAAAATAGAGACAAGAGATTCAGTGAAGATGGGGCAAGGGGCTGCTGTGTTTAAAAAAACGCCTTCCATAACTACTTTATTCCATGGTCATAACAGTCAGTGATGCTCATAATATCAATTTTCTTGTTAAAAAATAAGGTCATCCTTTCCATAAAACTAAAATCCTCCTACAGAAAAGGAAGTGTTGGTTTTCCTCTGCAACTATGTGATAACTGAAGATGAAAGTTCCCACTTTTTTTAGGAAAGCCATTATTCCTTAATATAGTAGCAGATAAACTAACAAAATGCTGCAGAGAACTGCAGGGAAATTAGGTATGGATAGGTTAATTTCCTGCTTAGAACCATCTCTGCAACAAGATGATCTATCAAAAAAGTGCCTTCAGCATTCAACACAAATGAGAACATTCAACTAAATAATCATGTTTCTCTAAATAGCCAGACAGTATCATTAACTTCTGCATGATTACACTGAAATACCCAGTACCTCTAACACCTGGACTTCATCCTCCTACTGAAAATATTTGCTCAGTTTTTTTTCATAATATCTAGATCAAAATCAGTGAATACAGCTCTTAATTTCTCACCTCTTGACACAATAATGCTTTTCAACTACTACCTCTAGGTCAGCCTGATACACCACCAGAGAAAAAGAGCAAGTTCTGAACGTAAAAGTGCCATTTGCAAAGCTTTTCCAATTTCCTCACTGAAAAGGCTTTTAGTACTGGGTGTACACTGATCCCACTGGCCTTTGATGACTCCAAGAAAACATCCCACCCTGGAACGATTTTTAAAGTCATCTGTATCTCCACCAAGTGCAGATGTAAAGAGCTGACTGTCATGAGACAAATCAGTCTACAGGAATATCTACTCCAGCAGACTCCCCTGTTTTCACAACTCACACATTACCTACCAGCACAAAACCCACAAAAGCTTCACACGTGGTTAGAGCAGACCACAGTTCCTTACCTTACTGATTATTTGAATGATATCACCTTCTTTAAAGCTCAGTTCATCATTTGAGCCTTCATAGGAAAATACTGCCCTGTAATATTCCTTGGCTGAAACAAAACAGCACAATTAATTTGGATGCCATGGGTAGTAAAATACAAAATATCAGCTCACTTCTGCTGTCTCAGAGCTAAGAAGTTACCACTGTAATCACACTTCCCTTCTAAACCAGTCACCCAAGACTGCTTTATGAATGTTCAATATATTGTTCATATCACAAGAAAAATAAGATTATGTATTTATAGAACAATGACAATAAATCTTTGTGAAGTCAGGAGTATAAGCCCCAAAACATTTTTTCACAACAGGAACTTAATTCAGAGGGAGAAAAGGGGAGTTAAAAGTGTAACAGTTAAAATTTTAATAGCCCATCTAGTCCTCCCCATACCACTATATATTCAATTTTGAGCCACTTTAAACAAGAATGGTTTCAAGCTTAAGAGTTTATACATATTTTCTCAAAATCGATCTAAATTTCAAATTTGCATCCTAATTAAATACAGGCAATTGTTTTCAAGTAACATCCTTTATTAACATGGAAAACTACAGAAACTTCAAATATTTCAAGCAGCGGATCAGCTGAAATTCTGCAGCGAAACCAAGAAACTGAAGCAAAGGCATTCCTTGGCTAAGCACCTGAAACCAGAGCTCATCTGAGTGATGAACTCTGACAGTCACAGCCTCTTCCACAAAAGCAGAAAGAAAAATTCTTTCCATCTGGTCCAATTCAAAACTAATCCATTCAAATTGGTGATAACAATTTGGGTGAAAAAGCAGGAGGATTTGTTTTCCTTTCCCACGCCAGAACACAATCACCACGAGAAAGGTTAAAATATATAAACATAGAATGTTTAACCCCAGCACTTAAAATAACTCAGTGGATATAAAGGTTGAATTTCTGTATAAGAAGCATTAAGGAAGAGGAAGCAAACAAAAAGGACTCAAGGGTGCTGCTGTAACCTATCAGGTGTTTGGCACTGACAACACACACAGGTTGAGCAGCTGCATCACTCCCAGTTAAAGCAGCACAGCATCAAATCACTATGAAAATCATCTGCAATTCTTAATGACAGCCTTTGGCTGGGTGGTAAGAAAATTAATGAGTGAATTGCAGTCAAATCTTATTGCTGTTGTTACATTTTATTAAATAAAGATGCAAATCCTTAGTTTAAAAATGCACAAATTGTATTCTCAAATAAAAATGTGCCTCGGTCAGTGACAACCACTATGTTAAAATGCCAAAGTCTGCCAAGCTTAAGAGACAGATATATAGAGATATCTAAGTGGATGTGCATAGGTAAGTAACCACAAGAGTAATCCTAGCTACAAGAACTTGTATTACTTTGCTGCCTTATCTAGGGATCAAAAATGCTCAGCTGTAGATTGACTAAACTGTGGTTTGTGAAGAACTACAGCACCGTTAAGAACAACGTCAAAGAGATGAATGTTTAAACCGAGGTCCAAAAAACCTCACATTGATTAAAAAAAAAAAAACAACCAAAAACAAACAAACAAAAAACCAAACCAAAACAAAAAAACAAACAAAAACAAAACAAAACCCAAACAAAACCAGATACACTACAAATATCCTTCAAATGTGAGGACTTTATTCAGTAGTAATAAGTGTAATATATTTCACTACATCCTGATTCTGCAAAAATAGATGCATTTCTTTACTGCCTGGGGAGCTGGCCAGTATAATCCTTTATATCCTCTGCTCCTCCAAGCATTTCTCCCCTCTTCACATACATCAGGAGTCCCACAGTAGACAAAACATGTTGCCAAAAAGGGGATCTTTCACTCTCCTCCAGGAGTGCTGGAGGAAGGGAGTCCTGCACCCTGTCCCCATGTGCTGGGCTGTGAACCCAGCTTTCAGCACCACCAAGAAACCCAGCCATGTATGTAAAGAGTATGTACAATTTATCACTTTAGCACCTTATTTTGTGAGCCTGGTATTCTGCCAGTAATTAAGATGAAGAAAAGTTCAGTTTAACTTTGCAGCATTTAAACTTCAGTAAATATTTTTAAGAAAAGGTAGTTTAAAACTGAGTCTTTTCCATAGTGTTGAGACTAACAACACAGTAGCAGAAACCACAGATGTTGTATCCTAACATAATGGGGGGAAAGAGGGGTCAAATTGTGATTATTTCACTTTTTAAAGAAAATATTTTTACATTCTTGCACCAGAGGCCAAAAAAAGCTTTCAGAAATAGCAGAACCCCACTGCAAAATAAGCTACAACAGTCTAAACATTTCAGAGATCTTTGTTTATCTGCTAACAGATGAACACAGTTTGTTTTAAACTTAACTCTCTCAAACTGAGGATGAGATACATAAACCATAATATGGTCTATATTAAAATAAAAACACCAAGAAAGAAAAACAAGCTTTCCTCCTAAGGTTATAAGATGTTCTTATATGGTGTCTATAGGGCATTACCTACTGATGTTCTCCTACAGCTTATATTACTGTCATATTTAACTTCCTCTCTGATGTATTGGTTTCTCTGGGAAGCAGAGACCCAGCAGGGCTACTGAGTTAGTCCAGTTTCTCTGGTTTTAGCACAAAGAGAGCTAAATGCTGAATGTTCTGGATGTTCAGCACTGAATGCTCAGACTTTTTTAAGCAGAGTTGGGTTAATTTTTATGCAAAATTTTAGACAAGTCAAATCTCACAACACTCAGGGCTACACACTGTCATGCTGGTTCTTGGAGCAATAGCAGTGGAATGGTTTAAAAGCAAGACGTTGCAGTTTTCTTATTTCTGTAAATTATGCATTCCATAGAAAACAACACACCAAAATAAGGTATTTCCACATAAAACAAAAATATACTTGAAATTACAATACGTAAGTTGAAAAAATGTCTGCTGTGGAACCAGGGAAATGAGCTGTCTACACATCACATAACCAAAGTTAATTTTTTATATGGGGTTGGCACTCCCACGAGATGCTTTGGGTTGGATTAAAAATATCTCTCTAGACAGAACTACAATTTGGTGGCTAAGTGAAGTCATAAATTCTTAGAGCTGATAAAAAAGAAAAATACAAACAACAAAACAAAAACTGAACGACAGTGAAACTGAATTATTGAAGGAACAGACTTCAACACAAGCACCAACTTCCTGATGCAAGAAACTTTGCACAGAGTTACTACAGCTCAGTACCACCTCCATAGAAAATCCTGAGCCTAAAAAGTAACTTGACAACCTAGGGACAGAAATTGGGTTGGGGGACTGTTCCATGGAAATAGGTCTCCAGCATCCCAGGGTCCCTTTGGAACACAAAGCTATGCAGAGAGTAAATCACTCTGAACACATCAATAGAAAATTAATGCCAAGGGGACTGTTGCAGTAAAACTTCATACCCCAGCCTTATTTTGTTCTGGGAGAAAATCCTACAAATGTTTTTGATTCTTTTTCGACAGAAATGTGAGAAAAAATTCCTTTAGACTTTTTCGCATTTGCAAAACTCCTCAAAGGTACAGAATATCACACGAAACCCCAGTATACATTAAAATTTTAGATTTTAACACCAAAAAAAAATTGACAACCAAATACTTCTCAATAAAGGACTCCCAAATAATAGATGCACGTGTCCATCAGCCTTACCTTTTGGTTTACTTTCACCTTCTGATTTTATTACTTCTGGTGAGTTTTCAGTTTTTGTTATACTAGGAAAATGAATTAGCTTTGATCCAGGAGAATGGGTAGATAATGGCTGTATGAAGGGAAAAGAACTTTGTTAACAAAAACAGGTTTTATTTTTGATTAGGCTACAGAACATGCTCAATTTTTCATTAGCTGAGATGATGCAAATTACCATCTCAAAGAGATTCAGTGAGCTTTCTCATCAAGCACTTATCTTACTGTAGTTACTCTATTACAGACACAGCAATTAGGCTTTATCTCCTGACTAAAGACAGAGCACAACTTTCAAACTGGACAGGACCAATGTACTTCAGCAATTGTATTTCAGAAGTTCCAGGTGCTACTCCCCCATTAGCCTGAAAATTGCCTCCTCCAGCACAAAACAGAAGAAGTTATTTATTAGCTCTGCTCAGAGGAACTCCCTGACCACTCTTACTTTGCACTGGGATAAGGCAGGAATATTCAGCAGCCATACACCACCTCAGACAATCAGTTTTAACTACTCTACTACTACTAGCCAAATGTAAGAGCACATGAAACCCCATCCCAGCTTCCCTTCACTCTTAGTAATTTGTACAGAACAGGTGAGTGTTACTAGAGATTTCTCCTGAATGAAAATCACCACAAGTTTCAGAGTTAACATCTAAGCAAAATAAATATTACAGTCTTTTTTTATTATTTTTTCCCCAGACTTGCTGAGCTGCTTCTGTCAGCTTCAGCTGCATCCACTTCTTCAGAGCCCAACAAGCTACAAACATAGAGTATGATCTTACAATCAGTACTTACCCGAGCAGCCCTAATAGTATTACTGATGTGAAAAATCCCACAGCCTTTAGTAATTCTGTTCATTTTCATTTACAATTCAACTTTGCAGATTTTCTACTATCTGAGAAACTAGATTTACTCTCCCTAAAACCAGACAATGCCTGTAGGATGGTATTTGGTACCTCTGTCATACCACAGAGGAAGCCACGGTCAGTTGGGATGTTCCTGGAGGACATATGCAATTTAACTCTCTCCAGAATGGTATATGAAGGAAGTACTAAAATAACCCACCTATGAGATTAAACACTTCCAACATGGAAACAGTTCTCTATATTTCCCCCTCCCAAAATGAGATGCAATTAGAAGTATGAGAGGAAGTTTAGGCAGGCAGGGTATAAATAGCTAGAGCCCAGGCAGGATGCTGGGACCAGCTGAAACGATCTCCTGCAGCAGCATTAGTGCCCTTGAGAACTTCAGATACATCAGTGCTCAGCTGTCCTGTGCTAAAAAGCCTCTGAATTTCCCAAAGGAAAAGAGCCCTCTCTACTCTAGACAGCTTTTTTTTCCCCTTACAGACTTAAGGACAGAATGCCCTTCCAGCATCCCTTTATCTAATCCTGAAGCAAGTTAAGCACAAATCCAAGGAAGCCATCTCTTTTTCCAAGAGCTTCATGAGAATTACCTCCCTTGGGCTCTCCATGTTGTTCTTTAAGTCTGTCTACCTTTGGAATGACTTTGGCAACAAGTGGAAGTGGAACATTAAGTGCTAAACTAAATTGTTTATTTCTTTGTCACTAGGCTATGCAAAACTGTTTTCTCACTTCATTTCCTCTATTGCTGAGAAATGGCCTGCAAGAGCTTTCCAGAAAGGTCAACCAACAAAACACAGCACCATCATATTTTACTGTTTATACACAGTCAAATACAACAAGGTCTGAGCAGACTTCATATTAACTGAGCAGAGTTTAGACAGGCTCTTTATATTCCCAAGGTAGAAAATAGAGAAACACCCTTTTGAACCATCAGTCTTATGACAAGAAGGCAAGATGAAGCTAGGTCCTGTAGCCCTCATCTAACAGCATTTACATGAAGATCTAGAGAACCCAGAGACCTCCACTTCAAGGGACAAGGTCTGGAGAGATCTCAGGAAAATCAGTGTGCCTTCGCAGAATCACAGAATGGTTTGAGTTGGAAGGGACCTTCAATGAACATCCACATCCAACCTCCCTGCCATGGGCAGGGACACCTTCCACTAGATCAGGTTACTCAAAGCCCCATCCAGCCTGGCCTTGCCTGGGCAACCTGTTCCAGCATTTCACCTCCCTCACCATAAAGCACATCTTCCTTATATCCCCTCTTTTCTTCCTAAACCTCTCCTCTTTCAGTTTGAAGCCACTGTCCTTTTTCTGTCACAACAGACCTCGGCAAGAAGTCTCTCTCCATTGCATTGAAAGGGTGCAACAAGGTCTGCCAGGAACCTTCTCTTCTCCAAACAAAACAACACATTCTTTAGGAGGTAGCATTCCCTAAGCCTTAAACAGAAGGTAACACACTTGCATTTCATTTTCTGAATCATCTGATGCTTTTGACTGGACCAGAAACAAAGAGGACACGCACCATGCCATTGCTCTTAGCACTGCTATTGAGGGAAAACACATTCAAGGAAGCCTCTGTCCCTACCCTCCTTCCAGGGAATCAGCTGACCTTTTGCCCTACACCATTACAATTACTTCCATGGCAGCAGAGGAAAACAAATCAGTCAGCAAAACAGCATTAATAACCATAACAGGCAAAAAATTGAAATGGATAAAGGCTTTAAAAGCTTTCTTGAATTCATCACCTGAGTCAAATCTGAAACACTGGACTACCTCAGCTGCCTTTAATTTATCAAAAGCTAAAAATCCATATATAAGCTCTTGGAATAAACAATGCATAAGTTCAAGGTAAAGGACTGAGAACCGTTGTTGTGCTTCCAAGGGGTAAGAGCACTTTCAGGTTCAGATCAAAACAAAATTCAAACTGCAGCAATTCCACTATCATTGCATTATCTGCTGTTTCTTAAGTTCCAGTAAGTTCAGTATAGAGGATCAAAGTGTCCTTTTCCCACTCACTCATGAAAAATGAGGGGAAAAAATGAATGGGGATGCAAAATTCTAAAACTGTATTTTTCAGGCTTACATTATCAGCAGTTTATAGAGCCAAAAGCTTGCACTGAAGGTAATGGCAGTTGACACCTTGAACAGCAATCTCGACAGCCACCAAAACTTGAAAAAAAAAACCCAAAAAACACCAAAACCCAAAGAAACACCAAAAGATACCCTGTTTTAAAAGACAAGTTCAACTTGCTCAAGAAGACTTAAGAGTCTTGTCCCAGACTACAAAGTCTGTTATAAGGAGGATTCTGAGAGACCTCACACTGTACACGTGTTTGAGAATTCATTATGTCTTACATCACATGGGTCTGAAATGACAATTTTTCCATCACCTTGGTATTCCATCTCTAATGTTTTAAATACCAAGACATTTGAACAGACCTTTTGGAATCAATGTTAAATATAACTTACTAGGAAAGAAGCTTGAGGGGATTTGTTTCATTTTATAGGCAAGAGCCCTATGAGACAATTATGGTCAGAGCCCACATCTCTTGGATTATTTTTACAGGAAACCCCAAAATAACAATATGTACCAGTACAAACCTTATCTTGCTTTTTATCTTCTGATTCATTACTGGATAATCTCGTCTTAAGTTTCACTGAGCCTTCTTTAAAGATATCCCCAAACCCAACACCTCGGATTTTCTTTGGCTGTGCTGGTCCAGATGAGGGTTCGCCCCCGTTTCCTGGAGTGGTCACAGGTGAGGTAGGACTATTGAAAACAGGCTCTGAAAGTAAAATAAGAAAGGAAAAGTTATTTGAGTAACTGAAATGATGTACAAATTTACCCACCTCTAAATTTTGCTTTTCTGGGGGGAAAAAGTTGAAGCTACACAGCTGTATGCACTGCCCCTGTTAAACAGCTTTTCGAGGAACATCACTGTAGTTGTAATAACTCACGTTCTAGTTTTATATTTAACATATGACCAATTGAAAAACTGAAATTACACTAGTATTGCTCTGAGTACTGTGGCAATTAAGTCAACAGATCACTGATATTTCTTGCTATTTGAATTATCGCTCAGGTTCCACAGCATTTTAACATCAATGTTTTCCATTAGTTTTATGAAACACTGCTTATGCATTCTCTGAAAATGGGGTTTTACTCTAACATTTAAAAGCTTCTCCTTAGCAGAGCTGCAGCCACAGAAAGAGATGATCAATAAAGGTCCATAGTGAATCCAACCACATTTAAAGAGCCACAGGAAAACACAGTGTCTCAGTGGTAGATGATGCCTCCCAAGGAACCAAAGTGAAATGTTCCTATTGCTCAAAATGCAAATAGACAATACAACTATTTAAGCTATTCTAATCTTTCAGTTTTAAGGCACAACATTATCCAGCCCCCAAAAGTGTATTCCAGAGTACTTAGTTTTGGTGTTAAGAGCTTTGAGACTTTTAAAATTTTTTTTTATTTTTAAGTTATGGTTAAATCTGTTGAAGTTTACAAACCAATACTCACAGGTAAACTATTTTTACATGCAGAATTCCAGGAGACAGTCATGTGAAAACAGACAGCTTTTATAAGCCAAATTCAAAATAGCCCCCACAACTTTTAGCATTTTGGTAAAGTTCTCTTCAGCCTATGCATATCTGGAAACTGCAATAAAGACTAAAGATTCTTCCCTCTATCATAAATTTAAGATCTTTTGATGATACCATGAAGCTACATTGCTCTTGACTTCAGTTTCTCGGATTTCCTCTAAGCAGTTGCTGTTCACTCAGCTATATCCACCTCATATATCTAAAAGGACATCCCATTGATGAGGAAAGTCCAGGTCATATGTTTGAAAGACCACAGCTGAGTGAATGAGACAGTTACTGTTTCCCAGGAGTGAGGCTGGGAAGAAACAGACTCAAGATGCTCTCTGTGACAGTACTGAGCATTAAATATAAACCCTGGGAGGCTGAGGATCGTTAGTTACTGACAGAAAATACAATTACTTCAAATTACTGTTCAGTTTCACTGACTTTAGGAATTAAGACCAACACATTTGTAAATTCATCCCATCAAACTCCACTAAACACAGGGAACTTGTCCTCCAAGGAGACAGCCACTGACTTATTTGCAACTTCAGGTCAAACAAGTCTTGTTTTATGGTACTCCAATCATTTCCACAATTTAAAAAAAATAAAAAAATAAAAAAAATCCAAGCCACATTCTCCTTCCCTGTGTCTGAGCAAACCCTTGTTTGGAATAATCAATACTTAACATCTTGTAAATGAGGGTGCACATTACCACAAGGCTAAAAATCACTTTTCCCCTGGAACATTACACAGACGCCTTTAAGAATCAATTAACTCCTGTTACGATGTTCCCAAAAAACACTCCTAATTCCAGCAGTATCATATCACAAGTCTCCAGCCTTCAAACATTCTTCCTAGACCAAAATGTTTCTAAAGTGCTTTTTTTCTTTTTTTTAAGGGAACAAAGTAATTGCCTGTAAAGCCCAGTACTGCCTGGCACCACTCTGCTGTTCAGCCAGAGACCGTCTGCTTCTGCTCCAGCTAAAAAGCCATAGCCAGAAAGGAACAGCTAAATGTAAATTCTGCCTTAAAAAGACTTTATTGTTAGATTAAAACATAATGAAGAGTCAGTCATTTTAAGTCGAGGCTCTCCATACTCTTTTGATTCAATTTGACTTTTAATTCTCAAATAACTTGGTTAAACATTTAAGGTTTGTGTGTTCAAGAACTCAGGACTGTGAGAATAAGACTGAAAAAAGCTACAAAAGAAAAAAAAAAGGTAATTTTGTGTCTAATACTAAAAAGAATCAACTCTGAACATGATAGAATTTCTAATGATAAAATGCAGATCACAGATCAAGACCTTGACTGCAATTTTATCTGAAGTGCACTGGGAGCAAGACAGGTTATCTTTATACTCAGCATCAACACTTTCCAGAATGAAACTAAACACTTATCCTCCTTAGGAAGCTTGAATTCTTTACAACTTTTGCTGTACTACAACCATAATACTCCAAATTATACCCAAGATCTAAGATCACATTGCTAAAGGTTTACAACAAACAGAACACCACCTGTGTCATCCACAGCGTCCTGTGTTTCTCCATCATCCGTTGACTCCAATTCTTTCACAAAGTTTGAAGGGAACAACCCTGCCCTGCCATTCAGTGTTCCACTCCACCAGCCTTCTTCTACCTGTAGAGAAATATTTTGCACATTACCAATAGACCAACAGAGCAAAAGGAAATTCCTATCAATTCCATCCACACTTCACTTATAAAACTCTACAAACAACTTGGGGAAAATTCAAAATCACCATGATTTCTTTATAGAGAAACCTGACAAAGATGTAGAAATAGTAGGCAAAAAGAAAAATTTACTGTCACTTCTATCACTACAGCAGTGATCCTAAAACATGAGACTAGCCCAATGACGGTTAAGCCAGAAAAGCAGCAAAATGTTCATCGACTTTCTCAAGGTAAGACAGAATAACAGGCACTGCACATCCAACAGTAGAAGAAAATACTAAACTGTTTAGGAAATAAAGATGAAACTTTTAGCCTGGGTTTCTATGGAAATTTTTATGTATTCTTGCTGTCCATGTCTTTTCCTCTGCCTTGTCCAGTTTCCATCAGTCCTGATCCCACTGGCCTTGTATCCATTGGGCAGCTTCACACAATTTCAATCAAAAGACACAAGTTTCAAAGCTATAATTTCTACAGAGAATATTGGGTAGAACAGAGAGAAGTCCTTAAGGACATCACAGAGTAATGGAAAACTAAGCTGTTCGTTCCTTCTAGCAGAAGGCAGCTGGCTGAGCAGGCTCTTTCTGGTGCAGAGACTTTCCCACCAGAGCTGGCCAGCCAACAAAGGTAGCCAAGCCCACAAAGATTTTGTGGTGGCACACAGCAGTCCTAAGGAAAAAAGTTTGTTAGATGCCAAATTTTGTTGGCTTTGCTCTTCACAAAACAACTCATTTTTGCACTGGAAATAAACTTGTTCAGGAACTAGGAACATAATGACTCTAACACTCAGTTATGTGCTGGAATTCCTGGTGTGGCATTTACACTGAAATACTCCAAAATTTAACGGAATGTTTATCAGGAATAACCCAGGGTCCAAAGCAGAACAAGTAAAAACTGGGCATGCAGAGGTGACAGGGTAAAACAGTGCCAGCAGACTAAGAACCGTACTCTTCCAATTTATGAACAGCTTTCAAAATGTCTTAAATAAATACAATCTATTTACCTAATGAGTACTACTTAAAAACTCTAATTTAGATAAATTTTCAAAGTATTTCGTTTCAGTTGCCTTGTTTTCAGGCTGGAAAGCTGTTTTTAAGAAAGAAAAGCAACAGGGAAAGAAAAAGAAGCAAACCAAACAGCAGTTGTTTACACTGCCTTTTTTTAGCCTTGTTTTGTAGGTCACTACGCCTGACACACAGGCACAGTTTTAAACATCAACCCACCTCCAGGCAAGCAAAGCATATCCAGAACCTGGCAGTGCAGAGACAGGCAATGAAAAGAGCACTGTTATTTTTAAAGGCATCCTGGTGCTCAAATAGAGCTTTGCTGTGCATGGTTCAAACTCAGAGGCTGGTCCTCTGAAATAGATTTTAAGCACAGATTACTGGCAAGTGCTGCCCAGGCTCTGGCACCTCAAGCTTTACATAACACATGATAGAAACCTAAAATACAAGCGCCCTGACTCACCCAGACTACACCCAGGAGCCTGGAGAAAGGGACTTTTAATGCTTACGATACAGAAAGTAGCTTGAGCATCCCTTTCTTCTTCTGCCAAGAAATACGGTCAGCAAAGCACTCTGCAGAGTTGCAACGCAAAGAGACGCCAGTTCAGAGACACTCAGCAACAAAACAAACATTTCTTGAGCACACTTGCTTCAACCTCCTCAGCACACTGCCTTTAAATGACTATATATTTTTTCTGGTAATATAGTTTGTATCTTTAATTGACATTGAAAAAGCAGGCTTAAGAAGTTTTACACGCTTTGGTGGAGAACATCTGCACATCTGTCAGTGCCAGCAACACAGATGACAATTTCCCAACCTTCCACTTCCATTTCAAAATCTTACTGGGTGATACAATTTCCACAAGAGGGAGGTACAGCTCTGGTACACACAGCAGAACTCTTTTCGTGTGAATCCCATCAACTTATTTCTATCAAAAAGCTCAAGACTTCTCAACAAAACACAAGGAAAAAGGCTGAAACAAGCAGCTTTGCCAATATAGTTTGGGTTTTTTTAATAAAAACTTCACTAACGATGTTAGATGAAATTTTATTTTGCTTGCTAGCACCAGCAGGCAAATACTAAAAATATAATACTACAAAAATAAATCTGCTGTTTAGTGTTGCTTCTGACAAGAGTAGGGGGAAGATATAAAAGAGAAACAAATGTTTCACAGAAATGATACAGTTATCACATGCACTCTGCACATTTTTTTTGCACATAAAACTCACATGTTCTATAAATAAGAAACCCTGTGGAATCAGCCAGCACACAGCACAAGACTCTTCTTCCCTAAAGGCTCTCCTCAATATTAGTAATTTAATTTCTGAACCCATCTGCCTCCACCTTTGATTTCACTATCAGTGGTGTCAGTTTTAAGGACATAGTTTACGAATACAACTCAAGGACTAAATACTGAATTATTCTCAGGTAATGTAGAACTGAAGCTCATTTTACCATATTTTTCCCATAAAGAGGTAACCAAATGATCTTTCCTTCAAGTAACAGTTACAAGTTATCTGCATATTTATATATATAAACACATATATATATGGAAGTGAATCATCTCACGGTAGTGAAGACAAGTTCCCCCAGCACACAGCACAACCAATGGAAAGTATTTTCTACCATTCTTCACATTTCTGGTCCATCAGTAAAGTTTTGTGAAGCAGACAGACCTAGTCTACACCTGCCAGGTCTATTCTACATCACCATAAAAACAGTGTGCTCATAGTAAGCTGCAGTATTTTTCTCCCTGCTAGCATTTGCCTAAAAATTTTCTTAGCAGTTTTTCTTAGAAGTAGTGAAGACTGGGTACTACAAACACATATTTTAAAATCATTAGCAGAGCAGTAAGAATTAGGACTAATAAAAAAATTTCCTTAAGAAACCAGATGAGGAAATGCCTTGATTTTTTTATTCTGTTTATTCTGTCATGACTGCTAGTACAGGCACCGTCCACAAATTAAACTGCTGAGGTTACCCAGGAACACTCCTTTACAAACGCCCACACAATGGTATTTATGAAACTGAGTTTAGTGAGCAGGTTTCACAAGTCACTCGCTCTGTTTACTCAAAGATATTATATTCTACTAGTGCAAATGCATCTAAAGACATAGTTTTTCTCTGGCTAGGAGAATGGAAAAGTCCTTCCTGGCAATTGCCAGGTGAGCACTAGCACTCTCTTCAAAAGCTTCCCACAACACAAGCTGCTATTGATTGGAAGAGATATCAAGGAAGCACATAGGTAGGAAGAGATAAAAAAAACCCCTTGTTCTCAATCACATGGGGTCAGTGCCAAAGTCTGAACATTGAGATATCTTAAACTGCATTTCTTACACAATGGAAAAAGGAGGTAGCAGAAATAATAACATGTTGAATGCATTTGTATGCTTCATATTATTCTGCAAGTGGGGTGAAGTGTATTGCATTACAGCTGCAGGCTTCTGTGTTGAATATTGGTATTGGCAGTTCAATGCTTCAATGTGCTTACAAGAGAGCATAAAACTGGAGAATCAGGTCAAATAACATTCACCTAAACCAAGCTCGAGTATGTCTACTTAAAGGCAAGTGGTTCAACAGTTTTAGCAAAAGCATTCCAAAAATAACAATCACACAGAACCAGAGATCTGTAAAAGCCTTTCAAAAAATGAATCTGTGCTACAGATTACAATTTATTGCTGTGATGATCAAATATTTCCTGTAAACATCTAGTATTCATTAATTTAGGATTAGATCCTTAGAGAAATAACTCCTAAGTTAATAGCTTTAGCTGCAAAAACACTACTTTTCCCATGCTGTTTTTCCAACATGCTTGCAAACCAAGCAATCAGCCAAAAAAAATCAATTTGACTTCTGGTACATAAAAGAGATGATCAGTTCTGCAAAACAGCTCTTACCTCGTCGTTGATGTCGATCACATCCCCCACCTTGAGTTCCAGCTCATCTTCGTTCTGTGGGATGTACTCGAAGAGCACTTTGCACTGACGCTTCTTGGACCCTGATCCGAGGGGAACAGCAGAAGTAAGAACACCCACGAAGGAAAACCAGCCTTTCCTACACTCAAGTTCCTGAAGATCCAATCTGACCAGAAGACCCAAAAGCCATCCCAAAAAGCTACGTTGCTTTTGATGCTGGTTTTCCAGTTTCTTTTGTCACGTTAGTCTATCGAGCCACCACTTAGATAGAGGTTGAGAACAGGCAGACAATTCCAACACTGTATCGCCAATTACCAACAACCTCTGAAAACATGTTGACTCAAGAGTCAGGTAAATCCCCACTACAATTTTTCAAGCTATTTCCTGACCAAAATCTGCAGGAATGACAGCTGCTTCCAGTTAGCACCCACTTTGAAGAAAACATGCAAGTTTGAGCCTCCAGTCTTCAAACCATCCTGAAAGCAATGACACCTTTTGTTGTGCACTGATAGCCCTTCTGCCCTCCAACACAAACCACAGCTAACCACAGCTCTGAGGTAATGCCAACATTTGCTGGGCTCATATTTCAAAATCCAAGCTCATTTAAATTTGTGAATGCAAAAAATCTCCCTTTTCTCAGTGCCAACATGGAGTCGAGGAATTCAAACTAAGCGTCAATTAGCAGTGTTTGACAAAAGCGAAATTAAAATTGAGTGCAATCTTCAGATGTTTGCCACATATCATTAAAGTTCTGCAGGCATTAAAAAGACAAAATGACATCCCGAGAGGGGGAGAGCATTGAAGTGGCTTCCAACAAACCCTCCAGCCACAGCAGCGTGAACCCACATTGCCTAATTACTGTGCACATATCCTGGAGTGATGCTGCTGCTGAACCCAGAGAGTTTATGCATTTCTCCTTCAAACAAGAGGCCATGCCTTCAGACCTTTTCCACAGCAGAGCAGCCAGCACACTTTTGAAGGCAATTATCATCCTGAGCTATGACCCACACAGATTCCCTATCCTCCTCAAAAAAACTGCTTCAGTTTAAATGAAAATATGAATCAAAAGCTTGACGTGGTAAAGCCTAAGCTTACAGCAGCTGTATAATTCCCATGCTTTCTCCCATACTTTGTACTCCTTTCACACTGAAGCTTCAACAATCAAAATTAGCTGTGTAAAAACATTTCAAAACACAGATACTGCCTCCAAGATTGATCCTTGTCTTATTATAGCAGTGTTGAAAGTCCAAAGTCAGACATTTAGAAGACAGCCACACCCAGCATTCTCAGTGCAAAACACGCCAGACATCTGAGCAATATTCTGCATCTAAAATTTCTGAGAGAGGCCTCACCAAACCAAGAGTTTTCTACATGCTGGTATATGACCCGTGCAAATAAACCAGGAACATGAAACTCTGTGGGTTATTTCTAATAACACATAATTGCCCACATAATACCCCCTTCTTTTGCCTCCACTGGAGCTCACGCATCAGCCCAGAGGGATTGTTCAGTTTACAGTAATTGCAATAAACGGTTCACTGGCCTTTACTGCCTCCTGCAGCGCTTTCAGGGCTCCTCCTTTGTAGGAGATTAACTGATACCAAAAAAAGGCAAATTAAAAAGTCACAGCCATTTGGTATAAATCTGATCTCAGCATTCCTTTTTAATACTGTAATTCTACCTAAATGGGGGAGAAAACAAACCCATGGATGCATTTCACATCCAGAACTCTTCCTCACCCAAGGTATGCTTTCAGTGAGATCCAGTTTAGCAAGTACTGCCTTCCACTTTTGAAAATCCCTAGACTAACCTAGGAAAGTTAGTGGTATAAAGCTGTGTCAGGGCAGGTGTAGGCTGGATATTAGGAGAAGGTTGTTCACCCAGAGGGTGTTTGGGCACTGGAACAGGTTCCTCAGAGAAGTGGTCACAGCACCAACCCTGACAGAGTTCAAGAAGCATTTGGACAACACTCTCAGGCACACTGTGTGATTCTTGAGATGTCCTGTGCAGGGCCAGGAGTTGGATTCAATTATCCTGATGGGTGGGTCTCTTCCAACTCAGGATATTTATTCTGTGATTTTAAGGTAACCAACTCAACCCAGGAAACAACACTCCAGCTTCAAGTGGTGCTGCAGGACTGCTGGGCTGGCAGCCTGCAGGCAATTCTGTCCCTTTCCAAAACAACTTGTCTGGCTTCAGGTTTTGTTTGTTTTGTACAGGGTAAACCTAATTTAGCCCTTTGTTGCAGTCACTTACCCCACCTTCCACGTTTTCCTTCTGCTGAATAAAGGCAGACATCTAACTGATGGGAATTCTGCCTGCAGCTTACCACCCACCTGACACAAAATACCTGAATTCAGCAGGAGCTGCACATGAGAACAACACAAGGAGCTGAGCAGGCACAGACAACCTGCCTCACTGCACACGGAAACTTGCTATTAAAAAAAAATTAAGGGTTTCTTTAGCATTATAAACCTCATTTTACCAGGTGAGGAACCGGAAGTGAAAAAGACAACTAAGCTCTGAAAACCTTTTGAAGGATCCAAGTGATTGCCCAGGCACAGAGCAAACGAGATCTGCTGGAGCTGTTTAAACAATCTTCCAAGAAAAAAGGGAACAGCAAGTAAAATGGAAACGAAGACTGTCACTGCACCAAGTAAACAACTGTATCCCTAAAGGAAGGGAACATCATTTTCTTCCAGAAGGAAGAGACTAGCCAGAGTGCTGTGGAGTTGGAGAGCAAGTTGTACTTACTACCCTGGCCACGGCCACCAGCATGAGGATGAGACATGAGATATGGGATCATTCCAGGGTTAGGGAGACCAAAACAAGTAGCTGGCAGCTGAACTGGTATCAGATCATGTTCACTGAATCCTAGAATATCTCCAGTTAGGAGGACCCATAAGAATCATGCTTATTCCCTTCCGAAGCCTGGCTGCATTTATCCAGGAACAGCATTAATCCTTCAGGCTAGATTTTTCCAAAGCCTGCTGATGTAAACATCGAACAAGCACATACTGGTGTTGCCAATAAGCACACGCAGATCAAGAGACACTAAAAAGTAATTTTGAACCCTTAGTTGCCTAGAACAAAGTATCCAGAAATTTATAAATCTGGTAGTCTCATTTCAGGGCTTTCAAAGACAACCAGTGGCTCCTCTCCTTTTATAGGCAAAATCTCAAAGCATAAACACATCAGAAACAGTAAGTTCTGAATGCTTTGTTTTTAAAAAAGCAAGCTTCATAGAATCATAGAATCATAGAATAGATTGGGTTGGAAAAGACCTCCAAGATCATCAAGTCCAACCCCTGATCCAACTCTAATTACTATATCATGGCACTAAGGGCCATGTCCAATCTCTTTTTAAAAACTTCCAGGGATGGTGAATCCACCACCTCTCTGGGCAGGCCGTTCCAATGCCTGATCACCCTCTCTGAAAAGAATTTCTTCCTAACATCTAACCTAAACTTCCCCTGGCAGAGCTTGAGCCCATGTCCCCTTGTCCTGTTGTTGGTTGCCTGGGAGAAGAGACCAACCCCCACCTGGCTATAACTTCCCTTCAGGTAGTTGAAGAGAGTGATGAGGTCACCTCTAAGCCTTCTCTTCTCTAGACTAAACAATCCCAGCTCCCTCAGCCTCTCCTCATAGGACTTGTGCTCAAGTCCCTTCACCAGCCTGGTTGCTCTTCTCTGGACCCGCTCCAGCACCTCAATATCCTTCCTGAACTGAGGGGCCCAGAGCTGAACACAATACTCAAGGTGCGGCCTCACCAACGCAGAGTACAGGGGAAGGATCACTGCCCTGCTCCTGCTGGCCACACTGTTCTTGATGCAGGCCAGGATGCCATTGGCCTTCTTGGCCACCTGGGCACACTGCTGGCTCATGTTCAGCTTCCTGTCAATCAGCACCCCCAGGTCCCTTTCCACCTGGCTGCTCTCCAGCCACTCTGTCCCCAGCCTGTAGCGCTGCAGGGGTTGTTGTGGCCAAAGTGCAGGACCCGGCACTTGGCCTTGTTGAACTTCATCCCATTGGAGTCAGCCCATCTCTCCAGTCTATCCAGGTCCCTCTGCAGAGCCCTCCTGCCTTCTGGTAGGTTGACACTCCCTCCCAACTTGGTGTCATCAGCAAATTTGCTGATGATGGACTCAATCCCCTCATCTAGGTCATCGATAAAGATGTTAAACAGGACTGGGCCCAGCACTGATCCCTGGGGGACACCACTGGTGACCGGCCGCCAGCTGGAGGCAGCCCCGTTCACCAGCACTCTTTGGGCCCGGCCCTCCAGCCAGTTCCTAACCCAGCACAGAGTGCCCCTGTCCAAGCCATGGGCTGCCAGCTTTTCCAGGAGTATATTATGGGAGACAGTGTCAAAGGCTCTGCTGAAGTCCAGATAGACCACATCCACAGCCTTCCCCTCGTCCACCAGGTGAGTCACCTGATCGTAAAAGGAGATCAGGTTGGTCAAACAGGATCTGCCTCTCCTAAACCCGTGCTGGCTGGGTCTGATCCCTTGTCCATCTTGTAGGTGCTGTGTGATTGCACACAGGATGATCTGTTCCATAACTCTGCCAGGCACCGAGGTCAGGCTGACAGGCCTGTAGTTACCAGGGTCAGCCTTGCAGCCTTTTTTATGGATTGGGGTGATATTTGCCAACTTCCAATCATGTGGGACCTCCCCAGTGAGCCAGGACTGTTGGAAGATAATGGAGAGCGGCTTGGCAAGCTCTTCTGCCAGCTCCCTCATTACTCTAGGATGGATCCCATCTGGTCCCATAGACTTGTGAGGATCCAGGTGGCTCAGTAAGTCACTAACTATTTCCTCCTGGAATACAGGGGGCTATTTGGTTTCCTCTCTCTGTCTACCAGCTCCAGAGGCCAGTTGCCTTGAGGGCCACCTGTCTTACTGGTAAAAACTGAGGCAAAGTAGGTGTTAAGTACCTCAGCCTTCTCCTCATCTCTATTAACTATGTTTCCCTCCGAGTCCATCAAAGAATGGAGGTTTTCTTTGCCCCTCCTTTTGTTATTAATGTATTTATAGAAGGACTTTTTGTTATCCCTAACAGAAGTGGCCAATTTAACTTCAAATTGCGCTTTTGTATCCCTGATTTTCTTTCTGCATGATCTAGCTGTCTTCCTGAATTCTTCGTAAGTAGCCAGCCCTCTCTTCCATAGTCGATAAACTCTCTTTTTATCCCTGATTTCCTTCAGAATCTCCCTGTTTAACCAGGCTGGTTGTCTTCCCCGCCGGCTTGCCTTTCGGCACACCGGTATGGCCTGTTCCTGTGCACTCAAAACTTCCTGTTTGAAGCACATCCATCCCTCCTGGACTCCCTTGTTTTCAAGGGTTGTTTCCCAGGGTATGCTCTGGACTAGACTTCTGAATAGGTCAAAATCTGCCCTCCGAAAGTCCAGCGTAGAGGTTTTATTGTTATTTCTCCTTGAATCTCTGAGTATTGAAAATTCTATTATTTCATGATCACTATTTCCTAGGCGGCCTTCAACCACTATATCTCCCACCAGCTCCTCTCTGTTTGTAAACAGCAGGTCTAGCGGGGCCTTACCCCTGGTAGGTTCATTTACCAGTTGATGAAGGAAATTGTCCTCTATACACTCCAGGAAATTCCTAGACTGCCTCTTCTCTGCAGTATTGAGCTCCCAGCAGATATCTGGCAGGTTAAAGTCACCTACAAGGACAAGGGCTGACAATTTTGAGACATCCGCCAGCTGCTTGTAGAATAATTCATCCCCTTCATCATCCTGGTAGGGCGGTCTATAACAGACACCCATGATGATGTCAGTCTTGTTGGTCTTCCCCTGATTTTGATCCACAGGCACTCAACCTTATTGTTGCTGACCTCAAGTTCAACAGGGTCCAGAGAGTCTCTAACATATAAAGCCACCCCTCCACCTCTCCTCCCCTGCCTGTTCTTCCTGAAGAGCTTATAGCCTTCCATAGCAGCACTCCAGACATGCGAGTCATCCCACCATGTTTCTGTGATGGCGACTACATCATAGCCTTCCTGCTGCACAATTGCCTCCAGCTCCTCTTGTTTGTTGCCCATACTGCGTGCATTAGTGTACATGCACTTCAGGTGGGCTGTTGATTTAATTCTTAACTCAGGCTTTCCATCCTTAGGCTGATCACTGGAGAGCCCGGTTTCAACCCCTTCCCCCTTCAAACCTAGTTTAAAGCCCTCCTAATCAGCCTCGCTAACTTATGGGCTACAGTCCTCTTATTCTTCCTAGAAAGATGAATCCCATCTGATTTTAAGAAACTAGGTACCATGGAGTTTGCCCCATGGTCAAAGAAACCAAAATTTTGATGGTGGCACCAATTCTTTAGCCATCTGTTGAGGAGTTGGGCTTTTTTACTCCTCTCTTTATTTAACTCCTCATCCATCCCAGATAGTACAGGAACTGAGGCAAATATCACCTGTGCTCCTGTCCCCTGAACTGACTGACCCAGTGCTTTAAAGTCTTTTTTAATTATCTTGGCACTTCTTTGATTAATGTCCTCACTGCCAGCCTGGACTACCACCAGAGGATAATAGTCTGAGGGCTGAATTAACTCAGGAAGTCTCCTACTAATATCCCTCACCCTGGCCCCAGGAAGGCAGCATACTTCTCTCTGGGATGGGTCTGGGCGACATATAGGGCCCTCAGTTCCCCTCAAAAGGGAGTCACCGACTACAACTACCCTTCTTTTTTTTTTTTATACCTGTGGTTGTAATCCGTCTTTTGGACGGGGCCAAACAAGGAGGCTCTCTAGAGGGATCGTCTTGGCTGTCCTCTACCTGACTGTCTGGGTCCAGAGTCTCGTATCTATTCTTCAAGGGCACCCTGAGGGGTGATGGGGGTCTAGAAAGAATTCTTCTACCTCTCCCATTAGGGACCTGTTTCCATTCCCCCCCATCATTTTGGTCTGCTCCATCTGTCTTATGGCAGGAGAGGCAGGGCTTCGCCGTCTCCTGTTGGACTTCCTTAGGGTTTAAAAGGGTTTGACTCCACCAGTCAATTTCTTTTTCACTCTCCCTAATGCACCTTAATCTCTCTACCTCTTCCTTAAGTTCTGCTACAAGGCACAGCAAATCACTCACCTGCTCGCATCGTACACAGCTACCTCCTACACCATCCTCCGGTACCAACATCAGGCTCAGACACTCAGCACACCCAGAGACCTGGGTGGCTGCATCCTTCTTCGAGGGGAGTGTCTGAGCAAACACACTCCTAGTATTAACAGCAGTAACAGTTTTTGTTTTTCTGGAAACCATTGTTAGCTTTAAAAAGCACACTCACCTACAAGAAAAGGGAGCTGGTTGTGCCCTGCAGGCTTGAAATGCCTTGAAATTGTTGTGCCACACCCTGTTAGTCTACTCCTGTGGGGGTGCGTGAGCGAAGATCGCTCACGCTCCTGGAGGTTCTTATATAGCCTCCCCCAGCACTTGCTAACGAGCTTAAATCATAAAAGCCTCCAATCCCTTGTAAGAGAGAGGAAGCCAGAGTATTTTAGAGCAATGTCTTATAAGAGACTGATATGTCCCAATACAAATCACAAGTCAATTTGCTGGATGCAGGGAATGGCAAATTTTCTGCTCTACATTTTGGTCACCATGTTTTAAAAACTGGCATTAAAACACAGAAACCACAGACACAGAGGCAACAACGCTGTGCTCCTGACCATCCTGAGGGTTGCTGTTAATAACAAAAGGAAAACCACTAATTTTGTTTAGACACCACCAACTCCACCTTATTTCACACCAGAAGCAGGCCAGCCCTGAGGAATCTGAACTCTGGAATGTTCCCTTGTCACAAACCCTTGAATTTTTAACAGAGCTTCATGTTTTAACACTTCCTTTAAAAAGACCACAGGAAGAGATTTCTGATTGTCATGAAAAGGCCTGCAGTTCTCATTCATAATTATCTCATTGATAATACAACCAGAGCTCACATGACGTTACAGAGCTCTCTGGCATCTGGAAGGTGTCTAAATCCTGTTCCCAAGAAAATTCATCCCTATTACTGCTCTTAAAACCTACATATAAGCTTTCTGCCCATACATCCACAAGCAAAACTTGGCTTTGAATCAGTTTTTCCCCTTATGCTTCTAGTTTTCCATATAACCTTAAAACTAAGTCAGTCATTAAATAATTCATGTTCATTTTTTAAAAGCCCATCAGAAGCTTACACAACTGAAGGAACTGGAAGGACTACATACTCTTCTTGAATCCTTTGGATGGGGGATGAGGCTGAAATCCTCCTGCTGGAAGCCCATAGCTGCTCATCCGCTGCACAAGACTGGCTACGTTGCCAGATTTCTCCCTCCTGAGTGGTACAGCATCATCCTTGGGCTCTACATCCTTCTTAACTTCCTGAAACAAGAGATTTAAAAGACTGAGAGGCCACTTAAATTACTCAAGAGGTCAGTGATTTTAGACAGGCATTCAACAGACTAACAGATTTCAGGTATTTACCATTTCAGGTATAAGAACATATTATACTCAAAAATCATGGCATCCTGCAACTAAACATAGCAAAGGCCTTGATAAACTTGACCCTTTCATACAATCATGTTAGTAAAAAGGTAAGATGATGTGCTAAGAAAATTCAGAAAACGGGGCAGCATTTTAGCCATCTACTCCAACTCTAAGAAAAGTAGCGTTGAGCCCAGAAGTCCTGTATTACAAGTGCCATGACACAGCTCATATTTGAAAACACTTATAAACATATAAATATTACTTCAATGGCAGACCCATAGGGCAGGGCAATAAAATAATTTATTATACAAAATAATATTAGGCAATTATCTCTGCCTCAGGAAGCTCCAAGGTGTTTTGTAAATTGCTGAAAGACACGAGTGGAGAAGAAAGTGAGACACAAGAAACAGCGGGAACAAGTGAGGGGAAAGGTGTAGGAGGAAAAGAACAGAGACAATTTTTCTGGTAATTGTCTCCCACCTTTCTATCTTTCTAAATTAGGATGTTAGCACTGGAATTGAATGTGCCAATCAAGACTAAGAAGCCTATAAAAAAGAAAGCATCAGTTCTGGATAAAAAGGCAGAGTATGCAGCAGTTACTCTCTCACATCAGCTCATTAAGCGAGATTCCAGCGGAGAGAACAGACACTCTGGGAGAAGGAAACCACCACTTTGCACAAGAAACCCATTAAGGTAGATCAATGGCCCATCTAGTGCAGAACACGCTCCCAGAGGCTGCAATCCCAGAGGCTCTGCAGAGAGCTATCCTGCAACTCAGATCCTCCCACATTCCCAGAGCACCCATAAGGGTTTCATTAGGGAGATAAATCTCCTTTTTATGTCTGCAGCTGGCCCTGTCTAACCCCTTTCAGCACCCATGGTCCTGTCTGCCTCCATAGCATTCTTGGGGATAGACACCAGATTTTGCTACATAAAGAAGCTTCTCTCTCCCATCTGCTCTAGGCTGACACCTTACTAGTCCCCCAGGGTGTTCTCCCCATCACTGAATTTCGTTTGTCACAACCTCCATGGCTGTGTAAACTTGTATAGTATTTCCCCTTGGCTTTGTCTTCTCAGTTGAAGAGTCCCAGCCCCCTCAGCCCCATGTCAGACAGCTGATCCATCCCTTTAACCATCTATCCAGGGGCCTTAGTATATCCCACTCTCAAGTGAACTGATGACCCCTGGCATCCTACTGGTGTTTTGGGCTGTCACTACCCCCCAAGCTGAGGAGTTCAGAACTGAAAGCGACACCACCACATATTCGTGAGCTGATGCTCAACTTGCAACTGGCAGTTCCATGGAGACATGACATGGATTAGCTTTTCCTACACACATCACTCTAATTCAAAAAGGAATTTTTCATTCAGTCTCACAGCAACTTTATTCCTTCAATAACTTCATGGAGAACTTTATCAAACATTTCCTGAAAACCCAAGTGTATTACATTCACTGAATCTCACACATCTGTGCGCTTAGCAAGACTCTCAAAGCCCATCAGCTTTCCCACCACCACAGAATTACAATGTCTGGAAGAAAGCAAACACCCGTTAGCACTTTGCAGCTTTTTATGATCTAATTCAGAACAATTCTTGCATCCACCATCAGTAGCCACTGGTTGACAACTCCACTACTTAATGCAGAGGTAGCAGTAATAAAATCTTTAATAATAACTGAAAACAATCATGGCTGGGCTTCGTGAAAGAAGATTTGAGAAGGGCTCTACCCACGCTTGCTACAAGCACGCTGATGGCTAAAAAGGCCAATGCGAGATAGACAAGTCCGGTTGCAGAAGGTACAGCAGAAAGACTCCCCAGGTGATACAGACGAGACGCGATTCTTTCTGCGTTGTCTTTTCTCCTCGAGAGTGACCCTGCCTGTGTTCTCAAAAGCAGCAGCAGCGTTATAGATGGTGTGTCTCCAGGCCTCCCGATTGGAGGCCAGGGTAGACCAATGGTGATGATCGATATGGCCAAGGCTGAGGGATTGTTTCAGGCAGTCCTTGAACCTCCTCTTCGGGGCTCCTCTCTTGCGGTAGCCAGTGGCAAGTTCCCCATAGAGCACAATCTTAGGGAGGCGGCAGTCCTGCATCCTGGAGACGTGCCCTGCCCAACGCAGCTGTGTTCTCAGCAGCATGGCCTCAATGCTCGTGACTGCTGCCTGTTCAAGGACAGACGTGTTGGTCACATAGTCAGTCCAGTGGATGTTTAGAACTGTACGGAGGCAGCACCGATGGAAGCGTTCTAAGAGACGCAAGTGGTGCCGGTAAATGACCCATGATTCGGACCCATATAGAAGAGTAGACAGTACAACAGCTCTGTAAATGCTGATCTTTGTACTTTTCTTCAGGTGTTTGTTTTGCCACACTCTTTTATGGAGTTTACCGAAAGCTCTGTATGCCTTTGCTAACCTGTTGTCTATTTCTGCATCAATCTTACCATCTGAGGAGATGATGCTACCCAGGTAACTAAACTGCTGGACTGATTTGAGTTCTGTTTCACCAATGGTGATATGGGGATGATGGGAGACTTCCTGAGGTGCAGGTTGATATAAAACTTCTGTCTTCTTCAAGCTGACTTCCAGTCCAAACAGCTCAGCAGCCTCTGCAAAGCAGGATGTTAGACGCTGCAGAGCTACTTCTGTGTGAGCAACAAGGGCGGCATCATCAGCGTAAAGCAGCTCACGGATAAGACAATTTAAGGTCTTAGTGTGGGCCTTCAGTCGCCTTAGGTTGAACAGGCTCCCGTCCGTACGATATCGAATGTAGACACCGTTTTCTTCATCGAGGTCTGCCGTGGCCCTTTGGAGCATCATGCTGAAGAAGATTGTGAATAAAGTTGGTGCAAGAACGCAGCCTTGCTTCACACCATTGGCTATTGGAAACGGCTCAGAAAGTGCGTCACCATGTCTCACTTGGCTGCGCTGGTCCTCATGAAGCGAGATGATCATTTTGAGGAACTTGGGAGGACATCCTAAACGTTCCAAAATCTGCCACAGACCTTTTCTGCTCACAGTGTCGAAAGCCTTGGTACAATACTGGCAAGGCATAGATACACACTCATGTTGTGTGAACTCTTAAACATGAGCTTTAGGACAACAAAACCCACGCATCCATGAAGTGCCAAAAACAGCAGAAACATACTGCCCAGGACCTTGCTGGTGCTTTCTGGAACATTAAAGCCCAGGTCACCCACTGCAGTTGTCCAGTTGGAAAACTCAGTAGGTCTGAAAACCTACTGATGCTTTCAAAGATGCTACAAACCTTGAGTCAAGAAGACCAAAGCACCTCCCTATTTCTCAAAAGAGCAGAGCAAGTAAAATAAACAAAACTACAGACAGCACAGTATTTCTTCCCACTCATCTACATGACATAAAAAACGCTTTTCAGAAAACAGTCAAGTAGTTCCTGCTGTTACTCTCCTTTACTCGCAGTGACTTCTGCCCTGGAGATCTTAAGCTGTGCTGAGATCCCATCTTCCAAGTCCAAAAGAAAAAAAAAAAAAGAAAACCCAAACAAGAAAACCACTAACCCTCCAGGATAGCAGAACACCCTGTCCACTTCCCATCTGAACAGATGTTTCACATTTCAAAGACTTTGTTATTCTCATCTTGTTTTTCAGCCAGTTACCTGCAAGTCTGATAAACGATAAGCCATTAAATTTGGCTACAGCTGAAACATTTGCCACCTCCAAAACACCCTTCTAGCTGCCTTACTGTTAGGGCCATTCTGCTCATCGGGAAAACACACTGGTACTTGAAAACTTGCCTAAAGTGCTTCTGCCTCTGGATTTTTAAAATTATAATCTTTTGCTATGTGATTTATACAGCCTCCAAAATCTCCAAGCTGCTCCAGGAACTTCCAGTTAACCAGCTCCCCAATCGTGACACTTCCAGTGAGGAATCCGCTCCAGGTTGTTTCCCCAACTCTGCACTTTGCACAAGGCTTCAGAAGCAGCTGCTTAAATAACTTTGTAAAAAGCACACAGTTGCAAAAAGGAACTGGGGAAGCCTTACACAGGCAGTTTGGTCAAAAACATGACCTCTGTCTTTTTCTTTTTAATTTATTAGAAGAAATAAAAAAGCAAAACAGCACACACACAACACTTTCAAATGTTAGAACACTCTGTGAGGTAAGATCACAGTAAGTAATAATTTGAATTAAACAGAACATATACTTTTAAGTCCAGCAGTAGCATCAAAAGCAGCAACCTAAAAGACAAGTTATAAACAATAGGAAATGATCTGAGGCAAAAGCAGTGCCCACTACAAAGGTCCAAGGACACAAAACCAAAGGAGGAATGCTGGAGTGCCTTTCTGGCCAGGCTTGAGTCAGTAATTGAGTGGTGACAGGTAGGAAATACTCAAAGGTCTAACACAAGACAGTGGTTCATTTTAACAGAAACTATACTGGATTAAATTTTAAAATAGAGTCTAAAATAATTCTGTGAGCAATCATTACATCTTGCAGAAAATCTTGCAGCCAGATTCAAAGGCTGAAGATTTACTGATGAAGAATTTCATCAGGAGAAACCAGAAAGAACAATAAGACATCGGGAAAGGCTGATACACCCGACTGGCCTAATATAGACAAGATATGAAAGCTGAACTTTGATACACAGTGAAGAGAAACCATCCTACTCCAAGGCATACAAAAGGAAAGAGGTTGCCCAGAAAAGCTCAAGGTGACTGTGTGACAAAAACAGCAGCAGAGAGCTGCAAATCCATCAGATTTATAACGAAAATACGTGTAACAACCACACAACAGGGTCCTGCCACAGCAGACAGTGGTAAATCTAGTTTTGAGAAAGAACTACAGAAGTAGCTAGCAAGCAAGGCATGGATAAGCCAACAACTACTTCTTCCATATTTAACCTACTATCCTTTAAAACTTTCTT